GAGAGCCTAGGCATTGGCTATCAGAGCCCATGTTTTGAACCTTTGGGGATTCCCTGGTGCTGGGGGAATAGACTGGTGCCAGTGAAACCACCGTGAGCAAGTTGCCCAGGTGCTCGCTGCAGGATGGGGAAGCAGGAAGGCAATGACTGGTAAGGCCTGCCCCCCAGCTCACAGTCATCACTACTGCCCACAGCGTGCCAAGTTGGAGGCTGCCATTGCCGAGGCCGAAGAACGTGGGGAGCTGGCCCTGAAGGATGCACATGCCAAGCAGGAGGAGCTGGAGGCCGCCCTGCAGCGAGCCAAGCAGGACATGGCCCGGCAGCTGCGCGAGTACCAGGAGCTCATGAACGTCAAGTTGGCCCTGGACATCGAGATCGCCACCTACCGCAAGCTGCTGGAGGGCGAGGAGAGCTGGTGAGGACACAGAAGCCAGGAAGGGGATCCTTCTGGGGCTTGGTGGGGCCTGGGGCTTGACATTCATCCATCTACAGACATTTTCTGTGGCCTCTCTTCTGCAAGGCACCAGGGATGGAAAGTGTAGGGAGGGTAAATGATGCTCGCTTCTTTGCTCTTGATGAGATGCCCTTCTAGTAGGAAAGACCATGTGGTGTAAAGCTCAATGGGAAAGTTGAAGATAAAAATGTCCCCTTCATGTGTGGGCAGGGTCACCTTATTTGATCCTCACAATATATTCAGGTAAGCAGGTCAGGTATTGTTGCTTAGTTTACAGAGGGGAAACTGTGGTTCAGTTTTATGAATTGAGGGGCCAGTGTGCAGTCAAGCTCTGCTGATTCCTGGTCCAGGGATCTTTCATGATGCCAGGCTGCTTCTCCCACATCACTCAGTGGTAAGTCACATGATATTGACCGAATGTGGGGAGGTCCCACAGGTAATTTGCATACCTGCGGCCAGAGAGCAGGCTGGGCTGGGTTGGTGTTATAGGAATTCTTCATGAAAGACATGGAACCTATGTCCATGAAGTTGGGCCTTCATTCTCACCTGGATGGGTTGGTTGATTCATTCAGACAATTTGCCAGGCTTTAGACTTGTGCCCTGGGCGAAGGTTAGGGTTTGGAGAGGGTGAGAGGGAAAGTGTGGGCCAAGGCTTGGTGGTAGGACTCATCAGGGCTTGGCTTGTTGGGACCCAGCTCGGAGACAGAGAATATGGAAGACGTGCTTCTGTCCTCGGGGAGCTTGCGCATGGTCTGAGGACACCAAACATGTGTAAAGGGAACACCTAGAGACCACTCACGTGCATTTGTAAAATGCTGAATGTCTACAGAACTTTTTCTTTGGGGAGCATTTTTCCTGAGGGTATGGGGAGACAGGCTGGAGGATGGCGTGGACAGGAAGGAATTGGGGAACGAGGGAGTGCTAGGGCAGAGTGCCTGGATGCAGGGAGGAGGGAGAGAAGACACATAGCCGCAGGATAGGAGTTGGGGAAGGAGAGGAAGATGGGTCTCTGCCACTGCAGTTGACCCATCCCTGCCTGGGTTGGCATCTGGTCTTTATGGGAAGAGGAATTGAATACCAAAGGCCCCTGGGAAGAGAGAGCAGCTGATCTGGGGCACAGGGCGGCCCCAGAGCCCAACTGTCCCAGCCACGATGCCTCTCTGCACCCTCTGCCACCATGGGTGCGGGGGCCACGCTCTCTTGGGAACACATACCCTGGGCTTTTTTTCCTCATAGAACCAGAGCTGGGGATGCATAGAATGGGGCCGGATCCACTTCCTCCCATGGGCGGCTGAGCAGGGTGAAGCTCAGGGATGGCAAGTGGCATGCCCAAGGTCGCACAGAGAATGGAAACATTCTGTCTGAAAGCCTAATCTCAGTGTAGATTGTCATCATTGGGGCTTAGATCCCGGTTCTCTGAGAGGCAACTGTCCCCTCTCCACCTCTTAGGGGACATGGAGATGGACTCCTTGTTTTTGATCCCATAACCCCTCCACCTGTCCCAGGGGCAGGTCTAGGATTTGTGGTCTTAGAAGCTCATGCAATTTGGGGTTACAAAGTAGAGTTACGAATATAAAATTAGGCACAAAAACAAATATTTACTTAGGATGAGAAGAGAAAAATCACACTCCACACCAGAGCTTTAGATGTTCAGGTCTCTTCCTCGGCATGGCACCAGAAATTGTTACATGGAATTGCTACCTGACTGCACCCTGGCTTCCCTCCCCACCCACAACTTCCAGTGACTCCCAGCACTCCCAGGGGCCCGTGGAACAAGGGGCCTGGAAGCTTCCTAGCATATCTATCTCTTGCCCTTGTCCTTCGCTCTGCCCTCTTCCTGAACTTGGGGCTGATGAGGCCAGCTGGGCTCCCCTCACTCGATCTACCAAAGTGAGGTCTCCGCTCCCCATGGCAGAGTAAACTCAACCCCAAGGCCAAGGGCTTAGTGACAATGGAGCTGTGAGTCACAAAACAAATACGCCCAACTGTCTCCCATGGCTTTATTTCCGGTAGGGCTGCTTAAAGCCACCCCGACTACCTTCTGCTCCCTCCTCAGTCCCAGCCTTAAGCTGCATTCACGAAAGCAACAATTCGTGAATTATTTCAGTACATACAGAATAATTGCTACATGCCAGACCTCATGCTAGGGGCCAGAGATCCAAGAATCAATAAGCTACAGCCCACTTTGAGGGTTTTATGATTTGGTTAGGGGAGGCAGCTGTCTTCATAAATAATCACGGCTACCATTCATCAGATCCTGTGCACCCAGGGCTCTAGATAAATGATATTATTCAGCCCTCACAAACAACTCTGTGAGGCGAGGACTAAGTCAGGTGAGGAAATGGAGGCTTTGAGATGTTGCCCAAGGTCACATGGCCAGTAGGTAGGAGGGCCTACGTGAACTCCTCTCGCTCCCCCTTATTTTGCAACAAGGCTGAAGGAGGACTAAGGTGTGGGGATAGAGGAAGGAATACCAGTCTTGCTGGCTCCTGGGTGGAGGGGGCCCTGGGACTGCTTCCTCCAGCTCTGAGGAAAGAGCTGCTCACAGGTCTCTCCTCTGCCCCCCAGGTTGGCTGGAGATGGAGTGGGAGCTGTGAACATCTGTAAGTCCTTGGCTGTGGCCCATCTCCTGTGCTGTCCAGACTAGGCTGGGTCTGCAGGATGGCACACTGGCTTGAGGACCTGGCCTTGTCTGGACCAGGAGCTTCTTTCCCTCACCAGCTTTTAGCAGGTGCCCCAGAGCTCCCAGCAAGTCAGGCTCAAGGGCCCAGGGGAGCCGTGCAAGAGGGCAGAGTGAGGCAGGACATATCTGTGCTGCAACCCCCACAGCTGCCCCAGGCTCTTTCTGGCGGGGGGGAGTGGGGTGGAGGGGTGGGGGGGGGTGGGGGGTGGGCTGGCCCCAGGAGGCTGGTGGGGAGGGGAGGCAGCGGGGAGGGAGAGGGGCAGGCACAGCAGGAGAGTGGGGTGGAGTGAAAGACTGGGGCCTCAGGTGATGGGCCTTGTGCTGATGGAACCCTCCTCCCTTTTCTCCTAGCTGTGGTGAACTCCACTGGTGGAGGTGGCAGCCGGGTGGCCTTTGGAGGAACCATGGGCAGCAATGCCCTGAGCTTCTCGAGCGGCGGGCCTGGGACCTTCAGGTCCTATTCCAGCAGGACCTCAGCTGCCACCCATAGGAGCATACGAAAATGAGCCCCGGTGTGTGGAGACCCCCCCACCCCCCTGCCTTGGCAGTCACAGGAGGACTTCCATCCTTGCTCCCGAGACTGCCTGGCAGTCTGAAAAATGTCAGAATAGCTTCCAATAAAGCAGCCTTTCTGAAGCCTGGGTGAGGCCCAGCCTGGTACCTGGTATCCTGGCTTCATCAGCTGGGTGGAGAGGGCTGGGGAAGGAAGGGGCCTTAGGATTGGGTATGTTCTGAATACTGAAGAGCCATCTGTGCAGGAGCTTGGGAAAGCACGTTGGTGACATGGTGCTGGTGGTGATTCAAGAGGCATGGCTCGTAGCCTGTGTGAGGCCTTGGCCTCCTCCCAGGGCTGGGGCTCTGCCACGGAGGGGGCACTGAAGTCCTCTCCCGCTGAGGGAGTGGGAGGGCTGTTCGCACACTCCCCTACCCCCAGGTTCTGGGCTGCCAGAGTGCATTCCTTGCTGCGAGGACGAGGACGTGTGGCTGCAAACGCCTTCTCTGTCAGCCTCCGAGGGGCAAAAACTGGACTGGAAGTCCACGTGGAGGCACAAATGGGAGATTTTCTGAGCACATTATATATGACCCATGAGCTTTATTGGAACCGTGGAGACCAAGCACTAAGCACGAGGGAGAGGGAGCCGAGCCAGCCACCGAAAGATGTCCCCGTGGAGCTGCAGCCTCAGTCATTGCGAGGGTTTGGGAGGCAGGGGAGGGCCTGCGGGATAGCAGCACGGCCACACCCCCCAGGGCCGTGCACAGCCGAGGCCCCGGGCCAGTCTGTCCCTTAGAAGCCACAGGTCTCGGGCGCCTGGGTGGCTCAGTCGTTAAGCGTCTGCCTTCGGCTCAGGTCATGATCCTGGGGTCCCGGGATCGAGCCCCACATCGGGCTTCCTGCTCAGCGGGGAGCCTGCTTCTCCCGCTCCCACTCCCCCTGCTTGTGTTCCTGCTCTCGCTGTCTCTCTCTGTCAAATAAATAAATAAAATCTTTAAAAAAAAAAAAAAAAAAAAAAAAAAGAAGCCACAGGTCTCTGCCAGGCCAGGCCCCCGAGCAGCCTGAGTCAGAATGGGATCTCCCCGCAGGGCCGCAGGGATCCGGGCAGGCAGCCTCCTGGGCCGGGGGAAGGACGAGCGCAGCTGCCAGCTGGGCGGGGAGCCCGGGCCTCCCCCGAAGAAACCGCGAAGAGCAAGGGCGGGGGGAAGGCGGAGGAGATGCAGGACGATAAGGCTGCAGTTTGTGCAGGTGGGCCGGCTGGTTCTCCGAGCCCTTCCGCTTCGAGCCCAGGGACTTCGGTTGCTCCGGGCCCCACCTCCGGAGGCAGGGACTGTTCACTGGGAGAGCGGTGTGCTGACCGAGCGGGAGGTGCTACGCGAACCGCACCGAGGAGCTGCCGCTGCACCTCCGGCCGCAGGGCGCGCACATGCCCGTGCTCACCGCCACGTTCCCGCTGCAGGGGACGCTGCACACGCTGCCGGTCACCGGCCGCGAGCCGGACACGCAGAGGTCCCCGCAGACCACCCCGCCCCGGGAACTGCTGACACCTGCAGGAGGAGAACAGGGCTTAGTTCCCTGCCTCCTGGTCAGCACCCCCTTCTCTAGCCCAGAGCTCCTTCCCTCCATTTCTATTCCTCCCTTCCCTCCAGACACCCTCATTCCGCCCCACCCCCACCCCGCACTCCTTCCTGCCCTCTGGCCTCAAGCATCCTTGATAAACTCTTCGCCCGGGTCCTCCCTATAGGCAGAAATAGCTATTTAACTTGTAATCATAAATAGTTATCTAACTTACAATCACTCACTGCCCACCCACCCCCTTCCTTTCAGGGTTTCCAAAGATAGCCTGTGCTGGCCTCCTGTATTTGTAAATAAAATTGCATTGGAACCAAGCCATACGTACTCCTTAGGTGTTGCTTATGGCTGTAGCTTTCACATTACAGTGACAGAGTCCAGTAGTTGAGACAGAGGCTAGGTGGCTCACAAGCCTGAAATATTTGCCATCTGGCTCTCCTGCCCACCAGGAACCCCAAGCCCTTATTTCAGAACCTACAGTACAGATTACTTACAGACATTTTCAGCACCAGTGCCCTCACACAACCTTGTAGGGAGAGCAAAGAGACAAAAATTAGTTGGGGAGAGCAACCCTTGCAAATTCCCTCCTCCATGCAAGCGACATGCAAATGACATGCAAACGACATGCAAATATGCGCCTGGCTCAAAGCACAGTTTCCGGAAATTGAAGAGATACTCTTCCCACAGATTTGGGCCCCACCTCTGTTCTTCACCCTCCAGCAGCCGCCTGTAGGTGGCGACCTCGATGTCCAGGCCCAGCTTGGAGTTCATCACCTCCTGGTACTCCTTGAGCAGGCAGGCCATGTCCTGCTTGGCCTTCTGCAGGGCGGCCTCCAGCTCAGCCAGCTTGCAGCGGGCATCGCTCAGAGCCGCCTCGCCCTGCTGCTCAGCCTGGGTCACTGCGGCCTCCAGCTTGGAGTTCTGGGGGCCCAGAGGAGAACAAGGTGTGTTATGGTCCTGGGTATCTCTGTCCATTTCCTGGATGTGTCCAGTCTCTCCCCTCCCCCAGCTGGGGACACCCCAAGAACAGACCTCTCCCCTTCATCAGCTGAGTCTCCCCCAGGGACCACAACCAGGGACGATGGTCAGGCAAATGGGCTGGAGCATGAATGGTGAGATCCACTGCGGACACACACTGCCTGTATTACCCTGGGGAGGCCCCAGGTGACCAGGGACCAGGGCTGCAAAGAAAAGACACCGCCTCTGCTCCACTCTTCACACTCACTGGATCCTGTTGCTGTTTCCACCCACTTTCCCAGATCTAAGCTCAGGCAATCAGCTTATTAGAGTAATAAAAAAACCAGGATCTTTAAAATGAGTAATGCTTATTTAAGTTAGAGAAATGTACTATTAGGGATGTGGGTGAGAGGCATATTTCAGACATCCCGGGGGAGGGGTGTGATAGGTCATGTTGGGTGGTCTCTCCTCCCTTGCATTCCTAGCCAAATCTCTGATAATTTCTCTCGTTCCAAAGCCCTTTCCCTGTGGAGGTATGAAGAAGGGGTCACTTTGGGGACCACAGCAGAGAATGAGCTTGTCAGAATCAAGCAAGTGAGTGGGTCTGCCTGTGGCCGCCCTCGGGGGCATCCAGTACTCCCTCCTTTAGTTAACATGTTCATATTTTATTTCCACCCATGGAAGGACATTTTCCTCCTCACACCCAGGGAGATCCCCAAGGCAGGAATTCTCTGGATCTTCCTTTACAGAGAGGCCCAGAGAGAGAAAAGAACTTCCCAAAGTCTCATACTGTGTTTTGCTAGAGCAGAAGGGAGAACTTAGTTCTCCACCCCTCAGCTTCTGGATCTTTGCCTCTGACCTGCTTTGCAGGCACGGAATGGGATTGGAGATTTTCTAGGGTTGGACTGGGGGAGGTAGGGCCCTGGAAAATCTCACTAGGAACTGCCTACACATTGTTTCCAGAAGGGTAATGGTGCCTATGTGCTCGAGGGAGACCTGGAGGCCAATGTCCATGGGCTGGTGGAGGAGATGGGCTTCCTGAACGCCATGTGTGAGGAGGTGAGCACTGGCCGGGAGGACATTAGTCATCCCTGTTCACTCTGTCCCAGGCCAGCCTTTGTACAGAGGAAACGGACAGAGGGGTCTGCAGGCGTGAGGGCTTTGGAAATGGTGGCTCTGTGGTATGTGTGTGTGTGTGAAGGAGGAATGTGAGCAGTGTTCTACCTGGCTCTGGATGGTATAGGTGACGTGAATGGCTGTTGGCCCCACAGGACAGGTGGGTCATCCACGCCCACATCTCAGACACCTTAGTCATCATCAAGGTGGATATCAGCCAGGACCTGAACATGGGCTGCACTGTGACTGAGATCTGGGCTAACTATGATGACATTGCCAGATGCAGTCAGGCTGAAGCCAAAAGCTGGTACCTCAGCAAGGTGAGAGGCACAGGACACCTGCCTCCTAGATATGACAGTGGGAAGGATGCCAGGCATATATTAACAAGGCCTCTTTTGTCTGGGGATTCTGATCCCTAGGATGGTAACAGAAGGGCAGACAGCTCTCAGGTTACAGTGGCTGGGCAGGGCTGCCACGTATGGTCGCACAGGCTGAGCACTGTACAACTTACCAATCATCTGTGGTGTCTGAGTGGGTGGGAAACTGCATCCTGAGCCTCAGAACCATCTCTGCTCCCCTCCTCTCCCCCCCCACCCTGGCTAGTGTGAGGAGATGAAGGCTACGGTGACATGATGATCCAGCACGGGGAGACCCTGCGCTGCACCAAGGAGGAGATCAATGAGCTCAACCGCATGATCCAGAGGCTGACCGCTGAGGTTGAGAGTGCCAAGTGCCAGGTAAGGGTCACCTGCGGCCTCTCCAGGGTAATACAGGCAATGTGTGTCCCCATTGGATCTCACCATTCATGCTCCAGCCCATTTGCCTGACCTCGTCCCTGGTTGTGGTCCCTGGGGGAGACTCAGCTGATGAAGGGGAGAGGTCTGTTCTTGGGGTGTCCCCAGCTGGGGGAGGGGAGAGACTGGACACATCCAGGAAATGGACAGAGAGACTCAGGACAATAACCCACCTTGTTCTCCTCTGGGCCCCCAGAACTCCAAGCTGGAGGCCGCAGTGACCCAGGCTGAGCAGCAGGGCGAGGCGGCTCTGAGCGATGCCCGCTGCAAGCTGGCTGAGCTGGAGGCCGCCCTGCAGAAGGCCAAGCAGGACATGGCCTGCCTGCTCAAAGAGTACCAGGAGGTGATGAACTCCAAGCTGGGCCTGGACATCGAGATCGCCACCTACAGGCGGCTGCTGGAGGGCGAGGAGCACAGGTGGGTGCAGCCAGGGCTGCTGGGGGCAGCGCAGCATAGGCCTGATCCGTTGTTTGCTCCCGGACTTCTCGAGCACCTGTTTCTTCTTCTGCTGCCATCTTGGAAACCTTCAGGGCCCCTGCCAGCCCTGAGAGGCTAAGGAGAAGAATTTTAGCTGAGGTCCACTGCCTGATTTCTAACATGCCTCTTGGGACAGTGGCTGGCTGATAAATGTTTAAGAACCGGCTCTCAGAGGAAGAAAACACCCCTATTTACAGTACTTGCCAACTTCAGTGTGTAAACTCTTCTGTCATGGCCGACTGCGACTTCATGGAGGGTGGGCTAGAAATGTGCAAAACAGGCTCTGTGAATTGGTTCCAGAACACCATTGGTTAGAAAGCAGGAGAAAAGGAGGCCTCAAACAGAGAGGGCAAACAGAAGATTCTCTTACTGTATTGGAGAGATGAAACAGCTCAGGGAGACTGGATTGCTCCCGACCAGCTAGCCCATCGGTGTGGGTGGGGCGGCAATCCGGAGCTGGATTCCTGGGGACAGGTAGAGGGGTCTCTGTGGCCTACTGCATTTGGAGGGTCCCATTTCTCAGAGGGATCTGGGAGAGCCTGCCCCCTATGGTCTTTTGGGACAGGGTTGGAGAGATGCTGAGCCTTTGGGGCTGCTGCACCCCAGGCCTTCTCCTCTGACCTTCTGGGGAATCTTGAATGATTCCTTGGGTGACTGGGTTCCGAGCTGGTGACCACATTACTTCTGTGCCCACACCTAACGCTTACCTTGTCTCTCCTACATCAGGTGGTGTGAGGGCAGCAAGTGCTCTGAATCTGGCTCTGGAGGGAGACACTGCAGTTAGACAGTGGGAAGAACGTTTTAGCTCTGAGGGTGGAGAGACCCAGGGAGAAGGGGTTTCCTTCATTTCCTGCCCCACAGTGATGATGACGGGGCTGGATGACAGGTCGTGAGTGGACTAATTCCTCACACCACGCCTGTTGGAATGGAAGTCTTACTTTCCCATTGTTAGGAAGCTCGCATTCTCTCCCTGTCCAAGCACACTTGTCCACGTTGAAGATGTCAAATATTTTCTGGACTAAAGTAGGTGTTTCATCAGCTTGGTTGTCCCCAGGGAGGTCTTCCTGAAGTCAGTGATAGAAGAAGAGATTAAGAAGGGATTGAGATTAAACCACAAGATGGACTCCCTTCCAGTAAAGGGTGGGAGTCTGGGGGACAGGCCACAGGGAAGCTCATGTTGGCTTTACTTATCGTTGGAGACGTGGATGAGCAGGAGCCATCCCATCCACCTAGGTGCTCTTGGCTGGTAGGGAGGGGGTTCTAAGTGGTGGTGGGGAGCTCTTTGGAACCAGGTCCCCACCCCCACCAAAGGTTTGGGTTTGTTATTATCCCTGTGCCAGTGGGGTGTGAGCAGCTCTCGGGCGGAGTTGTATGTGGGGACCTCTCAGTCATCCATCCGTTCCGGTGGCATCAGATACTGTGGGATAGGAGCTTGTGGCCGCAGCTGTAAGAAGTGTCAAGCTGGCTGGGCTTGATGAAACACCAGGCCCCCAGCGCTCTCACCCTCCCTGAGGATCCCGGCTGGCCCTCTGCCCAACCCAACCGTGGTGGTGGGGTGTAACCGCTTGGTCTCACCCTGGCCCGTCTTCCGTGCCTTCCACTTCTCATTTCTTGTTGTGTGGGAGTCTCCCTCCTTGTCTCCTGTCTTCCTCAGGCCGAGGAAGGTTATTGGGAGGAGAGGCACATGGATATATTCTGTTGGAGGAATCTGGGCCGCTTGACTCATGAAGAGGACAGTCCCTCAGCCCCCATCCCTCAACCTTGCCCTTCCCCGAACTCTTGCTCTTCCCTTCCCTTCCCTTCCCCGATCTTCCTTCCCTCCCTGCTGTCGGCGCTTAAAATAAAGTCACATGGTTCTTGTCATGCTTTCAATCTTTCTGTCCGTTATTTTGGTCCTGGAAAGGGTGGGATCTCCAGGAGGGCATTCAATGTGGTGGGGGCTGCTAAGGCCATGACAGCTATTTATTTAAGTGAGTGTCAAGGCTGGGGACATTGAGGAGAGGTGTTCTGATGGCTCAGGACTCCAGAGGGAATGCTCCAGTGTCAGGAAGTGTCTGGCCCACTGTTGCCTTGTAGTGGGTACTGATCGATGTTAAGAGAATAAATGAATTCATCTCTAAGGTTTCCAATTTCCCACAGGGCATCTCCACTTGAATGTTGCACTGATATTTGGAATTCAAAATGCCTTGAAATCACCTCGTCATTTTCCCCTGTACTGATGCCCATTCGTCAGCTTTCCCTCTTTCTACCAGTTCTTTCTAATATTCCAGCTTCAAACCCTTTGATATCATTTTCCCCACCCAATGAGTCACAGAACCCTGCCTATTTTTTCCTTTGAAAAATGCCACTGGGAACTTCTTTTCTTGCAAAATGTCAGACTAGGACCTCTGAAAAACCCTTTTGTCATTAGTCACTTAAGGTTCTGAAAAATATACTTAAAAATATATTTAAATGCATCATTGAGCTAGCAAAAAGGTATGGCAAGTTAGAAGGAGGAACAAAATGGAAATTCCAGAATTGCAAAGTACAATCATTGAAATGAAAAGTTCAATGGATGGGCTTAACGAAAGACTGAAGATGTCAGGGGTAGGGTCTGTATACTAAAGACAGATGAATAGAAATTTTCCAATCCGAACAACAGAGAAAAAAAGATCGAAGAAAAAGTAACAGAGCCTTGGAGACCTGTGGGACGGTATCAAATAATCTAGCATATGCATATTCAGGGTTCCAGAATGAAAAGGGTGAGAATGATGTGGGAAAGTATTTGAAGGAATACTTGGTGGAAAACAGCAATTTACGGATCCAAGAACCTTGTAGTGCCCAAGAAGACAACTGGCTGTTAGAAGCAAAAATAATGATATTGTTTATAATGTACATAGAAGTAAAAGATCTGGCAACGATGACACAGATGGTGGGGAGGCGGGTCAATGAACACACTATTGTGAAGTGTGGAGTAGCACAGTATTAACTCCAAATAGACTTTGATAATTAAGGATGTATAGTTTTAGTTCTAAAACAACCGCTAAAAACAAATATTTATTATCATAAATAAAAATAAAATGTTTAAAAAATTTTATTTTTTTAAAAAGATTTTATTTATTTGAGAGAGAGAGAGTGGGGGAGAGAGAGAGAGAGAGAGAGAGAGCATGAGCAGGGGAAGGGGGAGGGGCAGAGGGAGAAGCAGACTCCCTGTCCAGCAGGAAGCCCGATGCAGGGTTCATCCCAGGACTCTGGGATCATGACCTGAGCTGAAGGCAGACACTCAACCAACTGAGCCACCTGGGCACCCCCCAAAAGAGATATTTCAGTAGAATAAATAATAGTAAATATTTAAAAGTATTTGATGAACTCAAAAGAAAGCAGAAAAGAACAATAGAGGACCCAAAAAACCCACCTGAGACAAGTGAGAAACAAAAAACAAGATGGCTGACTCAAATCCAATTATATAATAATTACATGAAATGTTTATGTTAAAAACTAACCCCTCGATAACAGAAGACAAACAATTCAGTGAAATGGGGCAAAAGATATCAATCAACACTTTACAAAAGAAGATGTGTTAAGGGCCAATGAGCACATGGGAGCTAGTCATCAGGGAAATCTGCTATGAGAAAAACCCAACACCCAGGAGAAGGCTAACATTAAGTGTGGAGCAGTTGGAGCTTTCACGGAGGGTAAAATGGTACAGTCACCTCGGCAAACAGTTTGGCAATTTCTTATCAAGTTAAATGTATACTACCAAATGGCAAAGCAATTCCACTCTTTGTTATTTATTCAAAAGAAATGAAAAATAGGTTTACATAGAGACTGGTACATGAATTTCATAGGGGCTTCATTTAGAATAGCCCCCAACTGGAAATAACACGTGAATGGACAAACAAAACTGAGATATATTTATACAACAGAATATGACCCAGACATTCAAAAGAATGACCTACTGATTCATGAAATGACATGGATGAGCTGAGTGAACAAGTCAGACACAAAAGAGCACATACTGAATGTTTCTATTCCTACGAAGTTCTAGAAGTGGCAATACTAACCTACGGGGGTGGAAATTAGATCAGTGGTTATCTGGGATGGGGTGGGGAGATGGGCAGCAAAGGGACATCGGGGAACTTTCTGAGATGATGGAAATGTTCTATACTTTCATTCGGTTGTGGTTAAATGGGGCATGCATTTGTCAAAACGTGTCAAACTGTATACTGATGTATACATTTTATTGTATGTATATTTTATCTCAACAAAGCTAATAAAAATTAATAAAATGACTTAAAAACCCAGTCTAGAAAATATGTGAAAGACCTATATCTAGAGAAATATAAACATTATGTGAAATGAAAGATAACAAAGCAGTGCTAACTAAATGAGGAGTTAGATCATATTCATAGATGGGAAGCTTCATTATCATAAAAATATTAATTTTCCTTAAACTGATTTACAAGGTCAATGCAACTACAATCAAATTCCAAATAAGGATGTACCTAAATCTTAACAAGTTGATTCTAAAGTTTATGGTGAAGAATAGCAATCAAGAATGGTCAAGGCACTATAAAAGAATAAATAGGGCGCCTGGGTGGCTCAGTTGGTTAAGTGACTGCCTTCGGCTCAGGTCATGATCCTGGAGTCCTGGGATCGAGTCCCACATCGGGCTCCCTGCTCAGCAGGGAGTCTGCTTCTCCCTCTGACCCTCCCCCCTCTCATGCTCTATCTCATTCTCTCTCTCAAATAAATAAATAAATAAATAAATAAATAAATAAATAAATAAGAATAAATAGGATAATAAAGAATGAATATTTGCCCTTTCAGAGATAATTATAAAGCTATTAATTCAATGTAGTATCCATGAAAGAATAGAGAAATTGACCAATGGAACAAACTAGAGAACCCTTTAATTGACATATAATATATATATAAAAACATAGCATATATATTATATACATATTAGATGTTTTATGTATAATAGTTTTATTATGATATATAATACAACATACATTATATATAAAACATATTATGCATATATTATAAACATATATGTTTCATATATACAAAATACATAATATATATCAATTTAGGGGCTCTCTAGTTTGTTCCATTGATCAATTTGTCTGTTCTTGTGTGTATATATTATATAAATATATTAAATATGCTAACTATGTGTAAATATAATATATAACAGGGTCCCTGGGTGGCTCAGTCAGTTGAGTGACTTTTTTTTTTTTAAAGATTTTATTTATTTATTTGACAGAGACACAGCGAGAGAGGGAACACAAGCAGGGGCAGTGGGAGAGGGAGAAGCAGGCTTCCCGCAGAGCAGGAAGCCTGATGGGGGGCTCGATCCCAGGATCCTGGGATCATGACCTGAGCCAAAGGCAGACGCTTAATGACTGAGCCACCCAGGCGCCCCAGTTGAGTGACTCTTGACCTCAGCTCAGGTCTTGATCGCAGGGTCATGAGTTTGAGCCCTGTGTTGGGCATATTTATTCTTTTAAGCATACTCCTTAAAAAAAAAAAAAATATATATATATATATATGTATATATATACACACATATATAACTAAAGTTACATGTACTATATAAAGTTATATATATACTTTATATATCTATAGCAATATCTTTGATATGCAACAGCAGTGATATTGCAGATCAGTAGTAAAGAAGGGACTATGCATTGGCTAAACACATGAGGAAAAAAAAAAACAGAACTGGATTCCTGTCTTCTGTTATATACAAAATCAATCCCAGGTAAATTCAGATTATAAATGTCAAATGCAAAACTTTAAAATTTTTGGAAGTAAAAGGTGGTGAATGTCTTTCTGACCTTGGTATAAGGAAAGATTTTTTTTTAAGATTTTTTTTATTTATTCATTTGAGAGAGAGAGCGAGCACGAGAGCATGAGCACGGGGACAGGCAGAAGGAGAGGGAGAAGCAGATGTCCCGCTGAGCAAGGAGCCCAATGCGGGGCTCAATCCCAGGACCCCAGGATCATGACCGAGAGGAAGACGGACGCTCAACCAACTGAGCCACTTAGGATAAGGAAGGATTTTTATGCAAGGCACACTGAATGTTTAATATGAAGGAAAAGGTGGGAAAATTACACATTAAAATTAAGAACTTTTGTTTATTAAATATGCACAAATTGAAAAGACAAACCATAAACTTGAAGGTGATATTCGTAATACATATAAGTGACAAAGTGTAATATCTAGAAATAGAAGCTTATATAGAAATATAAAAGCACTTAGAATCTAATAAAAATAAGGCAAAAAAACCCAAAAGAAAAAATGGGCAAAAGAAAAGGAAATCCATACAGATAATAAACATTTAAAGGGATATTCAGCTTAGATAAGAATCATGAAAATGCAAAGCAAAACCAAAAATAAGACTGTTTGTATCATTTCATTGTTGAAAATTAAGATGTGTCAGAAAAGATATGAATCTGATCAAAGTGTAAATCGTTATTACAACAGCTTTGGAAAATAATTTTTGTCTTGTAATATTGAACATTTGATCCAGAAATGGCAGTCCTACATGTGCATCACAAAGAAATCCTCACCTATGTCCATCAGGGGTCATTCAGAAAAATATTCATAGCACCATCTTTATAAGAGAAAACAAAACAAAACAAAACAATAATAGAGTTACATAAAGTGTTGTGTATTTACGTAATAGGATGCTATGAATCCTAGTGGAGGACTCCTTGTTCCATAGTATTAAAAAAAAAAAAAAAAGCAAGTCCCTTTGTAAGTAATATCCTTTAAAAAAACAAAAAATGAAACCCAACCAAACAAGGAAAACTGAAAAAAATTTTTTTTTCGGATATATGCATGTGTGTGATATAACTAGAAGAAAAGAAAGCAAGGGCATGATGACACAAATTCAAGGAAGTGGTCGCCCCTAGAGCAAGAAGGAATGGGGGACAAGCGGGGGACGGAGTGTGCAGGCACATGTAAGTTACTACTAACATTTGGTTCTTGTGCTCATAAGTGGGCTCATGGGTATTCATTTTCATTGTATTATTAAATACATAATAAAATCAATATACTATTTATAAGACATGAAACCTCAACGGAAGGCCCAATTGAAAACCTAAAGATAAAACCAACAAACCTAAACAGAAAATCTTACCTAAAACATAAGGCCATAAATTCAATGTTAAGGTGAATGGTCGGGGGTCAGAGTGCATCGTACACAGTAGGAGTGAGAAGTTCTTCATGAAACTTATTTCCGCTTATGTGTGTGAATATGTATGTAGGTACAGATTCACGATATAAAATATATTTCTTATTTTGAGTGTGGTTAAAAGATGGTTTGACAGCCAGTACCCTAAACTACCTCTTGTCAAAGCATAGCAGCAGATAGGTACCTAAAAGTTCCTACCAGTTTTATTAGCACAAAAACAAAAGTATACACATGTATACCCGTAGGAGAATGGAGACATAATCACACGCTGGGATACTTTACAGCAGTGAAAAATAAATAACGCTACATGCATCAAAATCTCACAAACAGAATGTTGGGGAGGGAAAAGCAAGTCATAGAAACAGTGTAATTCTATTTTTATAAAAGTTTAAAGTTAGGCAGAAGTAAACAATTGCTTAGGGATTCATATGCACACGATAATAAAGAACAGGTGAGGAATGCTTAATACAAAACCCCAGGATCGTGGCTACTTTGGAGATTGGATGGGGTTAGGGACAGAGGATGCTGTAATTAGGAAGAGTCCCACATGGGGCTTCGAAGGTATGGATGGGTACACAAGGATTTGTTTTATTACTGCTGCAATTTAAATCATTCAATGTATGTTATATATCCTCTTTTGCATGAATGAAAAGTTTATGAAACAAAAAGACAATGCTGCTCAGCTTGTGCTCTCTGGGTCCTGGTTACTCCTTCAGTTTAGGAGGCATCATCCTACCCAGAATTTTCCACCTAGTCTTGGAACTGGAACCCCAGGCCCAGTCTATCTCTCTCCCTTCCCACTGCTATCAGATAGGTCTTCCTCATCGCATACCAAGGTGGTGGTCTGCTTGAGCACCTTCTGTGGCTCCCTATTTCTAACTCCATATGCCCAAACTCCTTGGCTCCACACATTTCCTCCACCTGAAGGACCCTTCCTTCCTTCTCCTCCTCCTTCCTTCAAGGTCCATTCCAGCCCAGGGACCTCTACTCTCCCACCCAGGCTGACAGAACTGCCCCTTCCAGCCCCTGTCAGAACTCTGCAGTTATAATAAGGTGAGGTCACAAAGCCCCCAGGAAGGAGAGGCTATGTCCTCAGCGGCAAGGATTCTGGGAGCTGCTTGGGCTGGAGCTGGGCTTAGGTGCTCACTGGAGGCTTGGCGGAGACTACAGCTCTCTTCATCATGGTGAGACTTGTCCACGTGGCGTGCTGGGACACATGGGATAAGGGGGTCTCAGACTCTGCCCAGATCTGTTGGACCCAGCCAGGCACACGCTTGTCTGCTGTGTCTGCAGCTTTTGGGAATGGAAGCAGGAAAGGGTGGGCTGTGGGACGAGGGCAGAGATAGGCAGGAGATGATGTTTCGCTGATTGTTCATATCCATTTCCCACACCCCATCTGCCCTGGAAAGCAATTTGCACTGGGCTGGTGTGAACAGTGTCTGTTCTCTGGGTTAAAGAGTGTGTGTGACTTTATGTTCCTCCGAGTGTAGAGCAAAGAGCACGGGCTTCAGATGCAGTCCAGCTCAGCTACTGGCTGGCAGGGTCGCTCGTGGCCCGCCAGGTCCCTACTTCCTCACATGGTAGAGGTAGTGAGCCTCAGCTCGCCCAAGGAAAGATAATGGAGACAGTGACATCCACCTGGCCTAATTCATAGGTGGTCATGAGCCCCGGTGAGATGGTGGAGGTAAAAGACCTTGAACGATATAAGGCACCGTGTGTCCTCCCAAGCCCAGGCTGGTTACGGACTGGCATGTGGAGACAAGGTGCAGGAAGGGGAAAGGCCCCCTGGTTTTGTCCCTTGCAGACAGCACTCCCACCACAGTGGCCTTGCTTTGGGGAAGGAACTGGAATCAGGATCCCTGTCACTGATTAATAGCATTCATCAAATTAAGGAAGTTTCTTCTTATTCTTAGTTTTTTTTTTTTTTAAGATTGTATTTATTTATTTGACAGAGAGAGACACAGCGAGAGAGGGAACACAAGCAGGGGGAGTGGGAGAGGGAGAAGCGGGCTTCCTGCTGTGCAGGGAGCCCCATGCGGGGCTCGATCCCAAGACCCTGGGATCATGACCTGAGCCGAAGGCAGACGCTTCACGACTGAGCCACCCAGGTGCCCCCCATTCTTAGATTTTTAAAAGTATTTTTTTTAAAGATTTTATTTATTTGTTTGACAGAGAGAGACACAGCGAGAGAGGGAACACAAGCAGGGGAGTGGGAGAGGGAGAAGCAGGCTTCCCGCCAAGTAGGGAGCCCAATGTAGGGCCTTGTTGGCTCTCCTCATCTCCCTGACCCTCCCCTGTTCTGGGCTGCCTCCACCCCACAGTGTGAGGAGGTACAGGAGACCGTGCAGAAACCCAGGCAGAGCCTGAGGCACAGTAAGGAGGAGCTGAACAGGCTTAACCAGGCCATCCAGCGGCTGACTGCGGAGGTGGACAGCGCTAAGAGTCAGGTGAGGGGTGGCTGCGTGGGGGGCGCACCAGTGAGGGAGGAATGGTGGGAGAGTGTCCATTATCATGTGACAACTAGACTGGTCACCCCCCCTCCTCTGGAATAGATGGATAGAGTTTCTCCTTGTGAGTGTCTGAGCAAACGGAAGCGTGGCTGTATGTGTACATCATGCTGCATTTGCCTAGGACTCTCTGTCTTTCGTGTGGGCAAGTAATTAACATGTAGGTAAATATGTATAACTATGTATGCTTGTTTGCAAATCACTTTTTATGTATATGTGCATTTTTGCTATCTGTGTGTTATGTTTGTCCTACGTAGCATTAAACTTGAGCTCACCTTTAGAAATTGCAAGATTTTACCTAGAAATCCAGTTTTCTGGGTTCTCTTTAAAAATGTGCAGATTTGGCAACATTTGGCTAGAGAAGAGAGGCCTCTGTCTTCTCTGTCGCCTTCACACAGGGCCGCGCTCCTTTTGTGGGCCCCAGACCCCACCGCCCCACGTTGCATCCTTTGATACAGAAGTGGAGGGCTCTTTGCCATTGATCATCATCTTGGCCGGCCCTGTTATCCTTGTGGAAGACAAAATGCACCTGACCCATGTCTCTAAGTTAGAGAAGTGAGAGACTGACAACGTGCAAGGGGTCCCGGTGATTGCAGGAGAATGAGAATGTGCATACTTCTTTCTGGAACTTCATACTATTGATATATAGCTGACATTTGGCCTTTACCTTTTGATGCCTCCAGCCAGGCCTCTGCAGGCATTCAGATTTGCAGCTCAGGCTCTAGGCCTTAGAAAGGAGAGGTTCCTACATGAATGCTTTCTTTCTCCCTACTTCTCTGCCTCAACCTCCTCTCTTTCCTCCCAGCTGCCCTGGTGAGCCCCCAGGCTCATGTTCTACCTGTAGAGGAAAGGGCATCTGCTCCCTGTTTTTTTTCCTGCTTTCTGCAGGTACAAGTGTCTCAGGCTCGGAGGGCTTCGCTCTTCTTTAGGAACTGATGGCTATGAGGAGGAGCAAGCTGTTCAGGTTCCAGGGGGTGGCACAGTGATTTGGTGTCCCTGTCATGGTTCAGTCTCCTGCCCGCCTCAGCTGTGTTGATACCCACCCCTCTTACCCCAGTTTCCTAAGCAGCAAGCACACCTCACAAGGCAAGCGTTTATCATCATCATCACCATCATCATCCTCATCATCGTTGTATTTCCACAGAGACTACAGATGCTGGTTTCCTGTGAGGAAAGGATATTCTTCCAGTTAATTTTCCTGATGGAACAATAATCCCAGCATGATGTGCTCAGGGGCATTTGATGCTCCCTGGATCGTAGCTCCTATTAGAAGAGTCACATACTGGATGTGACAGGCTCTCTCTCAGCCAGCCTGGGCTGGCCCCAAGTCTCCATCTTGGGAGCTGAGCAGACACACACCATATTTTTTGGAACAGGCAGGCTCTTTCCTTACAATGATCTCTACTCCCTCACTGGCCCTCTGAGAAAGGTCTGGATCCTTGAAGTGGGGGAGGGTGGGAGCCAAAGATGTCCTGTCCGTGGTCTTCCCTTTGCCCCCAGCCCTGTGAACTAGACAGAGCCACGGAGCCACGAGCTCAGCAGGAGGGGGGTGCCTCGGACAGTGCCCAGGGCAAGCTGGCCTGGCTGGAGGCCGCCCTGCAGCGAGCCAAGCGCGACATGGTGCGCCAGCTGCGCGAGTACCAGGATCTCATGATCGTCAAGCTGGGCCTGGACTTTGAGATCGCCACCTACCGCAAGCTGCTGGAGGGCGAGGAGAGCAGGTGAGGGCTGGGCGGTGCCTTGGATGTGCACATGGTGAGGGGTGCAGGGGGTGCAGGGAGGTCACTATCTGGGTCCTCACCAGCTGGAGAGGGGCGGGGAGAGATGATCTGGGTATCCAGGGACTTGTTCTCCTGGAGCCAGTTTCTCCCCACCAGCTTGAGGCCCTTTAGACAAAACGTTCCAGCCGATGAGCACCTTTGGCACGTGCGATGGGACAACTTGTGAAGTCATTCACCTTCAGGGGCAGAGAGCTGGGGTCACTCTGTCCATCGAGACAGCTGCAGGGACCAAGGCCCAGCCAGGGGGAAATAAGGTCCCCCATGTAGAGGGCCTTCTCCTCGGTTCTGCCCTTCTCCCCCAGGCCTGGGGAAGGCAGGGTTTATGGGAATAGGTAGGGCCTGGCTTTTAACCTTAGACAGTAGAGATCCAAGGGCTGTTAGCTCCAGCTGGGTACCCCAGGCCGAGGGGAGGGAAAGGGAGCCCACCCTGCAACAGGCAGGCTGCATTTATTCTTTCCTTTCAATCCCACAACACCCCCGGGAGGGAGGTGCTGTCAATCCCATTTTACAGATGGGGAAACTGAGTCTCAGGGTAAAGGACCCCTTCAAGGACACACAGGTAGAAAGTGCCCGGGTGAGGCTTGACCAGTACTCTTCAGATAGTTGAGCTATTTCCTCTGTGGTGTCCTTTAAAATGCCCCCTTTAAAAGGCTAAACTTAGGCCAAAGAAAGCATAGCTCTTTAGCCTTCTTGAGAAACTCCTCCAGGAAGTCATCAATAAAACTGAGCTATTTGAGTTTAAGGAGGAAGGATTGAGTTTAAGGTCCAGAGGAGTCTGATGCAAAAGGGCTGTGGGGATCTGAGAGAACCAGGAGCATGCATGACAGACAGATCTCTGCCTGTGGGGGAAAGCCAGGAGAGTTTTGTTTTGGAGAATGGGGATTATTATACCCAGGAGGTATATTCACTCACCTGCTTCCTCCTTCTCCCCTGCAGGCTTGGTCTGGGATTTGGGGCAGGGAGCTTCTGTAAGTAAATAATAGACCTAGGTTGGGTTAGAGGAGTCAAATCTTATCCCCTCTCCTTTGGGTGTAGTCTTTTGGGAAGGGAGAAGGGCTCTGCTTCCACTGTGTCTCCCTTTTTTGGGGGGACTGTTTCTTCTCGTGGGGGTAATTCTTTGGGTGTGTGTCGGGGAGGATGTCTTGTGGTCTGTCCTTTTTGGGGAGGTTCTGTTGGTTTGTCCTGGGGTGTGGGAGGAGGTTCTGTGGGGTCTGTCCTTGTGGAAGAGACTGTTTCATTCTCGCGTGGGGAGAATCTGTGTGTCCGACTCCAGGGAGGGGGCATTCTTGAGTCTGTTTCCTGGGGGAAGGGGTCTGTGTATCATTACTTTGGGGAGTTTGCATCTGTCTGGGGCGGGGAGGAGGGTCTTTGCATCTGCCCTCTGCGGGAGGAGTCTGTCTGCCTTCCGGGGCGGAGCGGCTCTCTCAGACAGCCACTGTCCTCTCAGCCCTGGGCAGCGCTCCACCCTGCGGGCTCGGCTCAGCCTCGGGCCCCGCCCGCCTGCCGCCTCCCGGCGCGGGCTCCAGCGCCCTGGAGACGAGCGCCCCTGGCGGCGGCTGCGCGCTCTGCGGCTCCCCCGGCTGCCTCGGCGGCTTCGGCTGCGGCGGCGCCCGCGGATGTTGAAGGTTCCCGCCCAGCTCCGGAGAAGTCAGAGACCCCTAGTTCCTGCCCCAAGGACTTGACCATGTACCTCAGACGCCCCCTCCCACGGAGCTGGCCCTCACTTCATCTTTCCTTCTTGCTCCCCCCGCCCCACCCCACCCCACCCCGGAGCGTAAAGTTTGGAATCTCGCTTACTGGGTGGTGACTGCCCTGTCCCCTGGGTGAAGGTAGCCGGGACGCTGTGCCACCGGGGGAGGCCTGGTGGCTTACCTGGACACAGTACCCTGCTCCTCTGACCTGCCCCCCACTCCTCTTTCCCTGAGACTCCTCCTTTGCAATAAAAAAGTTCTTCAGTGGACTGAGCCCCCTGGGGTTGTTTGTGTCTGGATTCCTCAAGCTGTGTCCAGAGCACAGAGGAAGCTGGAGGGGGTTTGCAGGGAGGGGAGAAAAGGAGGGGACACTACCAGGAAGCGACCCTCCCCTTGTGGCGTGTGGGTCCACGAGACTTCAGTTGGCAGTGATATCCCAGAACCAAGATCCTAAGGGTTGGTGGTGGTAGGGGTGGGCAACTGTGGGTCCCTGGGGAAAGTGAAAGAAGGGGTTAATTCTATTCCCAGCCTCAGCGCCCCTCTGTGGAGCACTGCCTTCATTCATCCACACACTGGCTCTATGGACACTTACAGAATGGCCTCTGAGGGTCAGGTGTAGTGCCGAGTGAGCAAGGCACCCTGGTTCTGGAAGGGAGGCAGGCCAGAAACTGGGAAAGCAGCCCAAGAGAGAATGGCGTGAGATGGGGATGAGGATGAACCGTTCTCTACTGCCCTGGCAAGGGCCCTTGGGCACGGGCCCTGGGGAAGATGGCCCTCGCAGATTGGGGCTGGGGGATATGAATATTGGGTGGCCCAGGCCCGGGGTCTAGTCTAACCAGTGACCTGATGGCAGGCTGGGAACAACATTACCTTGGTGAAGGAGGGCGTGTCTTTGGAATCAGATGGAGGGTTCCAGCTCTGCCTCTTACTTCTAGGTCTAAGGTGTAGTTTGCTCTGAGTTTTCACAAGGCAACTGGACTCTGGGGGGGGGGGGGGGGCGGGGGCGGGCAGAAGATAGGCCAGTTTGGGGGCTGGGGTGGCCAGAGAAGGGCTGTGTTTCTGGGCTCTTTCTTTTCCCCATAGGCCCACGAGAAGCTTCCATTCGGTGAGCTCACATTCTTTTCTGTTGCACAAAGGGTTACATCATCAGCACATCTGGGAACAATGGTTTCTGCTTTCTCTGTCCCTGGGTGGGGTTAAGGTGCGTCACTGGCCAGAGGCCCTGGCTTTACCTTTTAAGGTACAGTAGGGCCAGGTGTCTGCTCTGTTCTCCTGGGTCCTCGCCCAGAAAACAGGTCTCCAAAGGGCCCCCTTCCTGGGTAAACAGAGCAGTCTCATGCAAGAGGAATGAGACCGAAACTTGGCTGGAAGGCTGCCTCCCAACCTGAGGGGTAGGGGACGTGGACCCACTCGAGTCCCATTTGGTCAACACGGACCGACACCAACGGTCAACATTCTTACCACACTCGCGGTGCAAAGTCACTGCCTGAAAGCAGAACCGCCCCTCTGCGAGATTTCTCAGTTGGGCTCCATGTTCCCTGCATTTTGCCAAGAGGTAATGATAGTCCATGCTTTTCAAGGTCAGGTTTTCCCAGCTGCTGTGCTGATCAGGTCAAGGGAAGTGCTGAAGGAAATATCACCAGCAGCTCTTGGCAGGATTTATAGTAAGCGTTCTGCAGCCTACATCACCGACGACTGGCTGCTCACGTTTTCCCGTCTCAAATCCCAAGCCTGATGTCCCTTCGGATCCCAAGGGCTGCCAGGTCAGGCTTGCGTGTCTTGCATTGCATGTTTGCGGTTTGGGGACCGATTCTCTGAGTGGCTCCCTTGGCCACGGGCCACATTCCATGCTGGGGCGGGAAAGAACTGTCTGGTGCATTTATAGAGTCGTTTACCAGCCTATTTAGAAGCTTTGTTAGTGGAGGTGACTTCTGAAGGGAGGCGGATTGTCAACCGTTGAGTCATCGCATCTCAGGAGAAGGGGGACCACTAGGGGTCAGTCTTCTGTTGGCTCCTCATGCCTGCCTTACGCTTAATAGCCCAGAAGCATGACAGATGTAACTTAGCTGTGTGGGCATCTCCATATGAACCCCTCAAGGCCAGTGACTGTTCCGGTCACCCATCACCAGGGCCTGCCACATGGTAGTTATGAACAGGTCGAACAAGGCTCTATGTTTGGTCCACTCTGTCTTTGGATGCACTGGGTCGTTCTTCCACCATTAATGTGTCTCACCTCACGGAAACCCCTCAGGAGTCTCTTGATGAATCTAACTGCAATCCTACCTGATGTAATTCCAACTGCAGTGTATCAGCCAGGCCAGCCTGGAGGAAGGAAAGAAGGGTCTGGATTCTGTTCCCAGTCTTGCTGTTATCCCGGCCACACGCTGCCTGTTTCTGAACCTCAGTCCTGCCCTCCCCAAATCTAACTGGTGAAGATTCATTTATCCCTTTTAGTTTTCCTCCCTACTTGACCTCTCTGCACCATGATTTACCTGTAAAATACAAATGTACCTGTCACAGGGTTGTGTGGAAAAATATATTGCTATATGTAAAGTGCTTAAAACATACTAGGAATTACTTAAATGTAATTCGTATCTCATGTACTGGGCTCTGGGCACCTTTACAGAAGGCAGTATAAGTCTAAAGCCGGCTGGTCTCTTGCTGCCCCAGGTGGAACTAGGGTGTCTACAGGGCAGGAGGGGAGCTAGGGGAACCCACTGGCTCGATCTGGCACCTCTGGGGCACCTCCCCAGTGTGATAATTGGCGGCACCTCCCTTACCACTCCGCCTTAGTCCAGTTCTCCATCTGGGATCACCCCCTCCTCCCCCACCAGCACGAGTCCACCTGCGCGCTCCCACTGCAGTCCTATCCACATGCACCCATAAAACTCACCTCTTCGGCCCATACATACAGGCATACGCACATTCACACACACAAAGACACATCTAGAAAGGCTCACAGTCACACACACACACACACACACACACGCTGCCACACAGATGCCCAGAGTTGTCAATCATACTGTTCTACTCACAGCTGCCCACAGTAAGCTATGCGGAATCAAGGTACAGACGGCATGCGCCCAGCACAACCGCACGGACGCCCCACTTTCCTCTAGCTCCTAGTCCTGTCCTACCTCTTCTGAAGACTAACAGAGCTTTAAATTGGCAAAGGGCCTTAGCAACCATCTTATCTAAACATTTTATTTCACTAGGGAATGCACGGAGGTCCAGAGGTGGGAGGTGACTTGTTAAAGGTCACACAGTGAGGTGTTCCATTTTTTTTCACCATTCGGCATCATGAGTATTATGTGCTTGATTCATTCACTCTTGCTTCTCTTCCTGAGCCTGTCCAGGAGTGGGAACCAGAGGGAGGTGAGGACTGTGCTCTTGGAGTAGGACAAAGCTGAAAGTTAGAGCTGGAGGGAGGCTGAGAGTAAGTTTGGCAGGTCATTAGGGCCCAGCTGGGCTGATGAGACCCGTGGGAGAGGAAGGGAGGGGTCAGCTGGCAGAGTTGAGAATTTCGTTGGGACTGGAGTTGCGGGTGGCTTCTGAACTGAGGGATAGAGTGACGGAGCTGGGGTTTGGGCCTCAGGTCTAGACTCCCGATGGCCTGCTTCTGAGCTCTATGGTGTCACAGCACGGAGGGCTCGTTGGAACAATTGCACACTCCGGAACTCTTCTAGAATTCTGCCCTGCTCAGAATTCCATCAGGAGGGGAGAGGGGCCATAGTGGTGGATGGGAGGCCTTGGATTGATCTTCTCCCTTAAAACAGTGAGTTCTTTTCAGACCACTCGCTTCTGGTCTCTCAACATTCTTGTTTATTTCTACTGGCCTGAGGGATGGGGACTTAGATTTCTGTTACCATTTTCTGGGTCTGGGCCTGGAAGTTTAGAAATTGACCCTGCAGTACAAATGTATATTCAGGGACTTGTCTTTGCCCATCATGAAGCTGAGGGGCCATCTCCCCACTTTCTTTGCTCCTTGTAAGAGCCTCGTCAGTGTCAAGGGGGCAACAGTTCTCTGCATGAAGGAGCTCAATGGCTCCAGAAGATGTGGAGATTTCTCTGTTTGCTATCTCTGATCACAGATGTAAGTATAATATGATATAAATGTGTAAATGTGATCAGTTTACAGATGCTCATGGGAGGCTGGCCATGGCCTTGTCCCTTAGAGGGATTTCCACCTTATATTCTGCAAAAGTACACTGCTAATTGCAAGTGCATATTGTGGTTATTTTGTGGAATTGTCTAAGCATGTTACGTGTATGAAATTCCTAGTCCTCCTATCTGCCCTAGGAGGTAGGTGCTCTCTTATCATTCTCACTTTAGAGATGTGGAAATGGAGGCACAGAGAGGACAAGTAAATTGCCCAAGGTCACTCAGCCAGGAAGGAACAGAGCCCATTTTCAGACCCAGGTAATCTGGCTCCAGAGTCTATGTGCTCACCTCTGTGCCACATCATCTTCTTGCTACGTGCTGTTTCCTATTTTGGAGGTAATTTATCAGCTATGGCGGGTCTCCAAACCCCAAAAGGACTCCATTTTGGGGTGCCTGGGTGGCTCAGTCGCTTAAGCGTCTGCCTTCAGCTCAGGTCATGATCCCAGGGTCCTGGGATCGAGCCCCGCATCAGGCTCCCTGCTCCACGGGAAGCTTGCTTCTCCCTCTCCCACTATCCCTGCTTGTGTTCCCTCTCTCGCTGTCTCTCTGTCAAATAAATAAATAAAATCTTAAAAAAAAAAAAGGACCTCATTAAAAGAAAAAAAAGTAGCCACATCAAAGGTTTTTTGAAAGTTTAAATAGTGTTCATGTATTTACCCTTTAAGGAATTCTCATAAATTGCTCAGGCATGAGTCTTCCACAGCAAAGCAATGAGTGGTGTTTCCTTAAGCTTTGAGTGGCTGGTGAATCTAATTTTCGTTATCCATCAGTTTACAGATATGCACAGGATGTTTTCGGGGAGGCAATTGTGGGCTAGTGAAATGACCATGAGTGGTGCATACAGGGTTCAAACACCAGCCAGATACTGAAACTTGTGGGGCATTGGCCCAGTTACTGAGCATCTCTGGCTTCTTCATCTGCAAGATGTATCATGGTGGATAAGATCATGACAGTTGTGTGCATAAAATTACATCGTGTAGAGGCCTAGCACAACCCTTGGCTCAATCTGAAACTGCTGTGAGCCCAGGGACAGAGGACTGTGCTGGAGACCCCAGACTAGACCTTTTTCTGCTCCATGTAACTCTGGGGACCTTCCCATATCAGGACCCTTGTGGATTACAGAGGTGCAGACAAGGCTCAGAGTTGGCTACATTGATTTATTGGAAACACAGATCAAGACAGAGATGAACACGGCAGAGATGGAAGGGGAATATTGGGGGGATGGGGTACAGCCATCACCCAGGGCAGCGCAGGTTGGGCCCTTATCCTGGCCCTCCGGCCCCTGAGCCCCCTTCCTATGGGCATCAAGGGGACTTCTTTTTAGGGGTAGCCTTTCCCAGCGCGGGCAGCAGAACTGAGGAGGAAGGGATCACACACAGATGTGAGAGGCTGGGAGTGGGACAGACCTTTCAAAGTGCCAGAGAAGTAGTCGAGAGCTTGCTCCACCTGGAGGCTGGGTGGGAGAGACACGAGGCCCGCCGCTTGAGCTTGGGTGTCTAGCATCTGCGGCAGCTGCTGGTGCAGGAGCCCACGCCGCAGGAGCTGATGCCGCAGGAGCCCACACCGCCGGTGCCCAGGCCGCAAGACGTGACGGAGTTGCAGGGGGCGCAGGGCGTGCTCGGGGCGCAGGGGGCGCACATGCCCGTGCTCACGGCCAGGTTCCCGCTGCAGGGGGCGCCGCACACGCTGCCGGTCACCGGCCGGGAGCCGGACACGCAGAGGTCCCCACAGACGACCCCGCCCCGGGAGCTGCTGACACCTGCGAACCCCAAAGGCTCAGTCAAAATTCTGGGGGGGTGGATCATCAGCTTCCCCGAGGACGCCCCTCCCCAGGCCCTGAGCTCTGTGTATTCAAAGTCCGGAGAATCTTTACTTAAAACACTAGGTCCATCTAGTTCCAAAGCTGCTGTCTTTCCTGCTCTCTGACCCCAAATCCCTCCGGCTCTGATGCCAGCCCCATTTAGCTTTCAGGGGAAGCCCCCCCTCCAAACTCTGCCATTCCTTCTAGAAGGGAATAAATGCACACGGGGGCTGTGTTACTCACAGACATTCACTGCGCCAACGCCTTCACATAGTCTGAGGGGGAAAAAGAAAAAGGCAACATGAGTGATTCGGCCAGAGTTGCAGATAGAGCTCCCCAAATCCCTGGGGGTGGGGTCCATAAGTGGTCAGGGTAAAAGCAGAGGGTCTGAGAGAACAGCCCTCCCAAGCTACCCCCTCCCCCAAAATGATGAATGAGAGGCTGTCCTAGATCCCTGGGCCTCCTTCCTGACCCAGGAGAAAGGGTGCTGTTTATTCAAGGGGCAGGAATGAGCAGCTCAGAGCCAGGCTGGGTTGGGCCCCACCTCTGTTCTTCGCCCTCCAGCAGCCGCCTGTAGGTGGCGATCTCGATGTCCAGGCCCAGCTTGGAGTTCATCACCTCCTGGTACTCCTTGACCAGGCAAGCCATGTCCTGCTTGGCCTTCTGCAGGGCGGCCTCCAGCTCAGCCAGCTTGCAGCGGGCATCGCTCAGAGCCGCCTCGCCCTGCTGCTCAGCCTGGGTCACTGCGGCCTCCAGCTTGGAGTTCTGGGGGCCCAGAGGAGAACAAGGTATGTTATGGTCCTGGGTTTCTCTGTCCATTTCCTGGGTGTGTCCAGTCTCTCCCCTCCCCAGCTGGGAACACCCCAAGAACAGCCCTCTCCCATCATGAGCCAGGTGCCCTCGAGGGTCCACAACCAAGGACTTTAGTCATGCAAATGGGCTGGAGCATGAATGGTGAGATCCACTGAGGACACACACTGCCTGTGTGACCCTGGGGAGGCCCCAGGCAACACTTACCTGGCACTTGGCATTCTCAACCTCAGCGGTCAGCCTCTGGATCATGCGGTTGAGCTCATTGATCTCCTCCTTGGTGCGGCGCAGGGTCTCCCCATGCCGGATCACCGTGGCCTTCATCTCCTCACACTGGGAGGAAGTAGACATGCCCCTGAGGCTCAAGAGGCAGTTTCCCACCCATTCAGACACCACAGATGATTGGTAGGTTGTACAGTGCTCAGCCTGTGCAACCATACGTGGCAGCCCTGCCCAGCCACTATAACCTGAGAGCTGTCTGCCCTTCTGTTACCATCTTAGGGGTCAAAATTTCCAAACAAAAGACACCCTGTTATTAAATGCCTGCCTTCTCTCCCACTGCCACGTTAAGGAGGCAGGTGTCCTCCGCCCCTCACCTTGCTGCGGTACCAGGACTCGGCCTCAGCCCGGCTGCGGCTGGCGATATCGTCGTACTGAGCCTTGATCTCGGCCACAATGCTGTCCATGTTCAGGTCCCGGCTGTTGTCCATCTTGACGATGACCGAGGTGTCTGAGATGTGGGCATTGAGAACACGGATCTCCTGCAGACGGTGGGGGGTGGGAGGATGGAAGGATCTTGTTTACACCCCGGCCTCATCCACCACAGTGTGGACCCAATCTTCTCAGCCCTTCCCTGGTCTCCAGCCCCTGCTCACATGACAGCCTCATGGACTGCAGCCCCAACCCAAATCCCTGGCCAACTCCAGTCCTAGGCCAAAGCCCCCTCTTCCAGGTTGGCTGCCAGTTTTCTGCCTGGACCACGGCCCCTCACCTCCTCATACAGGCGCCGCAGGAAGTCGATCTCCTCAGTCAGGGCCTCCGCGTTGGCCTCCAGGTCTGACTTGCGGAGGTAGGCACAGTCCACATTCTGAAGGGGAGAAGGGGGCACGGTGTCTCATTGGGAAGGCCACACAGAGCTCTCCCCACCTGGGAGGGCCCCCACCGGGCTGGGCAAACTCCGTGGAGACCCTCCTTAGCTGCTCATCCTAATGCCTGGAATCGTGGCATTCGTGGAATCCCTTATACAGTCAGAGGGGTCAGGAGCAGGTTTGGGTAAGGGAGGGGGACCGTGGGGTTTCCAGGCACTTCCTCTGGTACCTACGCGGATGATTGCTCCAGAATCCACACCTTGCACTATCACGGAAACTCAAGCTCTGGTGCAAAATGGGTCCATTCTAATGATGCCCCAGCCCTCCTTCCCACCTCAGGGAAAGCAATCTAGATCTGTGGTCAGAAGAAGACGTCTCAGGGATCAATTCTGCCCCTTCTAAGCCAGGGCAACTCAGGACAAGACCCTTGACCTCTGTGCCTCAGTTTCCTTCCGGTAACCCCTGTCTTCCTCCTATGGAGATGGTGGGAAGGATGTGGGGGGGTCCATGTGATAGCATTTGTGGCGGATCAAGGCTAAGGGGTGAGGAAAAACAGTACTGTTCAGCCAGCCTTCCACAGCTGCTGCCGGCCTGAGGATGCGGCCACCCCCTAGCATTCACGGGCACTCTCACTCACAGTAGTTCGGAATGCCCACTCTCTGGCAGGCACAGGGCAGAAGGAGATGGGAGGCCATCGGCCAGATGGGAGTTACCTCGGATGGAAGACGAGAGTGCCCTGCTTGAAGCAGGCGGTGTACCCCGATGTGGGGGGCCACCCCGGGAGGACTGGGGCATGGTGGGGTGGGGGGGCTGCTCTATGTGATTCTGGGGAAGTTGCTCAGCCTCTCTGAATTACAGATCACTCCCTCCTGCCTCTGCCCTGCTTTCTGAGTTGGGGGACAAGTATTCCGGGGTCACTCACCTTCTTCAGGGCCACAAATTCATTCTCAGCGGTGGCCCTTAGTGCCACCTCCTCTTCATATCTGGAGATAAAGGGCACAAGGTTCAGTGGCTAGAATTTTAATAGGCTGGGATTTGAAGAGAAAAAAGAGAATGAAGGCCCAGACAAACACATTCCAGGAACTGGATCTTTGGGAGGTAGGCATAGAATCAAAAAGTGTGTTGTCCATCCCTTTCTTCTGGGCACTCATCCAACCTGTCACCCAGTGCTCTTCCAGTTTCAGGGGTTCTCATTCCTGATGTGGGTGGTGACTGGGGTTGGGGGGTGCCGTGCACATTTTTGTAGGCCTTCTGTTTTTGGATTGTAACTCCCTGGGGGGCAGGAAGCCCATACGAGTTCTGGTGTCCCCCTCCGCCCTCCCCATCCCACCTCAGGGCCTAGCATAGCACCTGGAACAGAGTAGATGTCAATAAACGTTTGATGAATTAATGAAACCAACACATAAGGACGAGGTAGCTGAGCAGCTCCCCTCTCTCCAATGTGTGAACTCCCAGAGCATTTGTCCTCACAGGCTTCCTGTCACTGTCTTCTTCCTATTGGAAAGTTCCTCTTGCGGTCTAACCCGAATCTATCCTGCTTTGGCTTAATCCTCTTTCCTTTCTGAGACTATCCTCCCGGCCGCACTCACTTCTTCTTGTAGCCCTCCAGCACCTCCTGCACGTGGTTGAGCTCCGAGGCCAGCCTCCCGCTGTCGGCCTCCACGCACTCGGCCTCCCGCCTCAGGGTCTCGATGTAGCCCTCGAACAGGGGCTCCAGGTTGCTCTCGCAGCACTTGCGGTTCTGGTAGAACTGCCACTTGGTCTCCAGCAGCTTGTTCTGCTGCTCCAGGAAGCGCACCTGCGTTCAGGGTGTGAGGAGGGGGTCAGATGGCTCCTGGTGTCCCCAAACCAGTTTGGGGTGGGGCTGGTTGCTTTAGGGTAAACTCCCAAGCCTGTAGCTCAGCAGAGATTTGGCAGAGAGGGGCAGTGGGAGACAAGGTGACTTCTGGCTTTCCTGACTGTCATCTGTGTCTGGAGTTTCCAATTTAGGGATGGGAGCCAGGGTTGGGAAAGGTCAGTCCCTGCTCTCAGGGACATTGACTTATCCAGACCTGGTGAGTCCAGGTGGCATGTGGTGTGGGGCCAGCTAGAGGTCTCTATTTTGCCTCTGACCTGGTGCCCAGCCTAGGTCCTGAGCGTGGGCGGGGTACAGGAAGGCTGTGGTCTAGGACACCCACCCCTAGGGTGGCCCTGTGGTCCTCCTCCTATTTCTTATGTGCATTCTTGTGTCTGCGTGCACGGACTGCCCTCTTGCTCTGGCATGCCAGTTCCAAGCCTGTCCTTGTCTCTCTGTAGGGACCTGCCTGCCTGGACGGAGGTTGCATGTGATAGCCACACTATCAAATCAGGAGCCTCTGCTCTATAGACTCATGTCTTTGGTCCACGAGTGCCCTGGGTGTGCGTCCATGTCCTGCATCAGACTGGGAGCTCCCCTGGACCACATCTCCTGTCTTCAGTGCCTAGCCCAGGAACCGAAGGCTCCGGAAGGGTGTGCTCAAGGACACCCACCTTGTCGATGAAGGCAGCGAACCTGCTGTTGAGGCCCTTGATCTGCTCCTTCTCCTCGTGCTTCACGCACTGCGCATTGGGGTCGATCTCCAGGTTGAGGGGCGTGAGGAGGCTCTCGTTGACCGACACGCTGGTGATGCAGGGTGGGCTGGGCCCGCACACGCCGCCGGAGCGGTAGCCGAAGCTGCGGCCGCAGGAGCCGGCGCGGAAGGCCCCGCAGACGCTGCGGCTGCCGAAGCCCCCGGTGAGGCCGCGGTAGCAGGAGACGCCGCGGTAGGGGGCGGCCGTGATGCAGCAGCGGCCGGGCCGGGGCCCGCAGGCCGACATGCAGCTGAAGGCGCGTCCGCAGAATCCCGATCCGCAGGTCATGGTGCTTCTGGAGGTTCGGGGTTGTGGAGTACAGGGATGAGGTCTGGAGTCTTGTGGAAACTCCAATGTGCTCTGCAAGGTGCCCCAGTCCTATTTATGCTCAGATCTGAAGGGCTTGGCTGTGCAGTTGGGTCAATTTGTTCTTTATGGGCTTGGGCGGTTAGTTGAGTCCAGCACCTCTTTAGAATGTGCTTTAATAATGGTGGAGTGGCCCGCACCCTCCTCTGTGTATAGGATGCCAACCTCTGGGCTGTAGGGGGACTCAGCATGTTTCATCTTCAAAGTGCCCTCCTAGCAAGGCATGCAGTCATCTGAGGAGATTGGGGAGAGAAGGGCAGGGCAGGGGATTTAGGAAGGGGTCCAGGGGAGGAGAGGCGAAGGAAGACCGGAGAAGCAGGGGACCTGTGTGTGTGTCAGGGGTAGCTGGGAGGGGACCCAGGAAAGACTGAGGTGTTAACAAATAACGTCTAGAAGTTTCCATCTCAGTAGTGGCTGAGGTGCTACTGTAACACAAATCTGCATTTCCCCATCTCCATCTGTCCAGTGGGCTCCTGAAATATATCCTGTTTCTTCTATCAAGCCAGCAGCCAGCAGATTATTAAATATCTGTGTTTTTTGTCTTTTTCAACTTTCATTATGAGCATTTCCAAACATATAGAAAAGCTGAAAGCATAGCATAACAAACACCCTGAGATGTTCCCCTTAGTTACTTGGATTGAACAGCGGTTAACACGGTGCCATCCCTGCCTGCCTATTTGACAGTTACAGAAAGTATGACACGTACAGAAATTGGGACCATACCACTGCACGTTCATGAAAACTAATATTTCCAAAGAATCATTTACTAGCCATTCCATTTTCAATTTTCCTAATAGTTTTAAGATTTTTTTAAAAAACTGGTTTTATGTGACTTAACTTGTGGCTCTGTCCCTTGTATTTTAAACTGGAAGTTAACTCTCGAGTTGGGCTGTTCATGTGATAGCCTATAGACATGTGTAGCTATTTAATTTAAATTGGTTAAAATTAAATAAATGCAAACTGGAGTTCCCCAGTTGCATGAGCCACATGGCCACGCAACAACTGACTAACTTAGTGGACAGAGCAGATATAGAACATTTCCACCATCACAGCAGCATCTACTGAATTGGGCTGGTCTGGAGGCTTGACTGGGTTCAACTGAAACTTTTTTGGACAGAATAGTTCATAAACAGTGCTATATAACTCTTATTGTATCACCCCAAGAAGCAAAATTATCAGCTTGTTCTATCATCTGTGATGCTAAATCAGATCACTTGCACACATTTCCCTTTTATAATTAGAAAGAATACTGTAGTAAAACATAGGTCCTATTTTGATAAGAAGATACTTTCTTTTCTTTTTTTTTGCCACCTACTATATGATATCATACATGCCATAAACAATCTCTAATTCTTCCATCAACCATATGAAGTATGTATCATCATCCCCATTTTACAGATAAGGAAACTGAGGTTCAGTGAGGTTAAGTAACTTGCCTAATGTCTCCTAGCTAGTAAGTAATGGAGCCCAGGAGATGCAATGCTTTCTCACCTGCAAGCTATGAAAACACCTGGATTTCCCAATCTCTGGAAAATTTCAAGAGGGTAGAGAAAGTTGTTTAGGAGGGGTAGCTGTGGATTTCTGGCTTGGGAAATCAGTCTAAGGAAGCTGGACAGAGTCACAGGGAGTTGGGATGGTTAGAACCGGGAGGGGCCAATGGGGGTGGGAGTGTAGCCCAGGGGCAGTGTGAGGCTGGGGCTGGAGATCTGTAAAAGATGCTGTGGCTGAGAATTGAAGGGAGGGACAGAAAAAAGCAGTTAAAAAAAATTTTTTTAAAGATTATTTGTACATCTCTGATGTACTGTAAGTGTCTTGACAGATGGTACTGTGTTCTTCTTACCCATGAAGCACCCCACTCCAATAGAACAGGTCTAGAAAAATTAGCTCATGAAGTACAGAGATTTGCATTAAATGAAAGAGAAGAAAAGAGAAGTGTGAAACGATGCTCCTGGCAGTCTCCTGTGACTACTGTGTCTTAGGGGCAAAGCAGGTAGGGCGGCTTAGGGAGGGAGGAAGGGGGTGCGGTGGATGGGAAAAGAGAAGGTAGGAGAGCAGATCAGGGCTCGGGGTGGGCCTGTCTGTGCAAAACATTCAGGGGTGAGGCCTTGTGACAGGACAAACATGGGCTCATGGACTGTGTCAGCCATCTGGCTATCCAGAGGGGGGTGTGGCACCTGCTGTCACTTTATGTGTTTGGGGAGCTGGGCCAGCACTTCCGAGACCCTTTATATCCTCATCACAGTTCTGGGCACTGCCCACAATTGAGCCCCAGTGCTCCTAGCAAGCCAGCTGGCTGGTGTCCTGAGGAGAAGCGCTGTGAGTCAAGGTACATCTCACACATGTGTTACCTTCTCCACCAGTGTAACTCCTTATAAAAATGACATGCATAAATCATGAGCTAATTACTAATGGCTGGCCCTTCCTCAGCAATTTTAAAGAAACAAGAAGCAATTTAAAGAGACAAGATATTAAAAAATTCAAATGTGACACCATTTTGTTAAACGTCAAGCCTTACTAATCGCTGATAATTTTTGAAGACCGAAAAGGACATTTAATCTGTATGTTTTCTTGGAGTAAAAAGACTTGTGGTGGGGGGAGGGGGAAGAGAGGAGGGAAGAAGTTTGGATAGATCCCCACTGTAGTCTTTGCTCTGGCAATACGAATTTTATAGAAGGTAAAATTGTGAGATATGTTCCCACACAAACGAATTTATAGGTGGTGTACCTACCACCTATAAGAAGAAAGAACACATAGTGTAACTTAGGCGCTTACTATGAGCCTCATTCTGATTGTACCCCCTTTCTGGCCTAGGGACAGCCCCTCTCTGGGATTTTGTGTTGGCTCATTCCCTTGCTTTTCTTTGCAGTTTTAGAACCAATGTATGCATCCCTAAAACATAAATTATTAGTTTTCCAGTTTTTTAAAAAAGATTTTATTTACTTATTTGACAGAGAGAAGCAGTGAGAGAGCACAAGCGGGGGGAATAGCAGAGGGAGAGAGAGAGAAGCAGGCTCCCTGCTAAGCAGGGAGCCCAGAGGAGTCCATCCCAGGACCCCGGAATCATGATCTGAGGGGAAAGCAGATGCTTAACTGATTGAGCTACCCAGGTGCCCCTAGTTTTCCAGTTTTTGAAGTTCATGTAAATGGAATTATATTGTGTGTATTCTTTTGTGTCTAGTCTATTTTGTTCAGTGTTGCTTCCTGTAGCTGCATTAATGTTCATTTTCACAGTGAATTGTACTCATTGTGTGAATGTGCCACAATTTATTTATCTCTCCACCCTGATGGTCTCATGGTTGTTTCTAGAGTTTGTATTATGAACAGAGCTGCCATGAACATTCTTTTCTGTGTCTTCAGGTATATTTGTGCAAGAGTTTTTCTAGGGTGTGTGGTTATTTAAAAAAATTATGCAAGTAGTATATGCTCAGTGTAGAAAACCATTTTATGAGTATTCTTCCAAATTTAAAAAACATAACATCTCTTGATGTTCATCTTACTTCATACTAGACACTATGCTAATTGCCCACCATGCATTAATGAATTTAATTTTTACAATTATCCTCTGAAGCAGGTGTCAGATGAGGACACTGAGACTTAGAAGGTTAAGAGTTTTGCCTAGGTTGTGTAGTTAGTGGCAAAGCTGGCTTCCCCTCCCCACCCCCCCAACCATACTCTTCATGGCCCTTTATAGTGCTGTCAGGGTTCAGGACCAGAAGATGGAGGAGAGCTCACCCTTGTTTGTGGTAAGCATCTAGTTCTAAGAGAAAAGCTGGACACACACACCTAGATCGTGAACAAAAATGCAAACCTCACAAAACACCAATGAACACAAATGTTTGGTTCATGGATATATTCCAAGGGCTTGGCACATAGTAGGTGCTCAATAAATACTTGTTGAATGAATGAAATGAATACCAACTATATATTAAGTGCTGAGTAATGGAGCCATCAAAGGTTGGTAGTTAATTGTGCAAAGCTTTCTGGTAGGATAGGGTGGGGATCAGATGAAGCAGACCAGAGGGGAGCCATTCCTGGGAGTGGGGCCTGGGTAGGGAGACATTCCTGGCTGGGGCCTGAAGGAGGGATGAAGTGAGTAGATGTGTCCTTGACCAAAGTGAAGTCATTGACCTGAATGATGATGGCAGTGGTAGGGAAAGCCAGCCAACAAGGGCAAGAATCTCGAAGGCCATGGGGAAAGCAGAAACTGAGGGTAGGATTGGGGAAGGAAAAAAAGAAGTGGATGGGAGGTAGATTTCTAGGGAAAAGAGGAGAGAAGATGCTTGGTCTTAGACTATTACTCTCTAGAGCTACTTTTTAAAGGACAAAGACCATCTGGGGGAGGGGCAAAGAGAATGGGAGGGAGGGGAGATTGGGGGAGATGGAGGGAATGGGAGGGAAGTGGAGGACAGTGGAGGAAAAATGAGAAGACCCATGGGAGAATGGTGGGGGGACACTGCAGGGGTGGAAGAGCAGAGGAGGAGGAAGTTGATGGGGGAGGGAATGCAGCACTGAGGGCAAGGTATGGACATATCTGAAGAGGTGGGCGACCTTGGCTTCAGCTTTAGAGCAATGAACCCTCACAGGCTGGAGGAGGTGCAGGGGTTCAGCCTGGTTAATGGGATGGACCTCACCAAGGGCAGAGCTTCTGAGTCAGTCTTCATCCCATTCCCCCAGGCTACCCACAAAGGCCTTTGGCCCCTCCTTCCTCTGGTGAATTCTCATGGATAATTGGCCACTGTCCCAGGCCGTTTAGGCTGAGGAGGCAGGACTCTGACTTGGGCCTCTCAACTCATGAATCTAGCTGTCCTGCTTGTTGGCTGGCCTAGGGTCAGCTCCCTCATCAACAGCCTGAGTGTTATGTAAATAGCCCCTCCTTCACCCCTCAATTCCCCTCACTGAAACCTGGCCTGCATCTGCTTTCTGTGAACAGAAAGCATGAGCTACAAGGTTAGAAAGGGCACAGCCCTTTGGATACCTGCAAGCCTGGTGTGCAGATGTTTGGGTACCCTCAGATGTAGAGCCCACAGGCTGCCTCCCACCCTATAGCATTGAAGCAGAATCCCAGAGATAGTACTCCCTGCTTCTGAGGTCTCTGCCTCAAATGGTTCTCCACTATCACAGCGTCTCACAATCCCGGCCTCTCCTGCAAGGGTGCTCAGGTTTCCCTACTGTCCACTTTCTGAAATACCTCCATGCACACTTTTCACCAACACTGCCCACCTACCTCCTTACTGACGTCTGTTCTCACCCTTTCCAGGGAGTCTTTCTTACCTTTCCCATCAGATTAGTTGCATTCTACATTGCCCCAGAATGGGCACTGACAGTAGGCACTGCATTCCTGAGCATCTGATGATATAGCTGAAAAGCAGCCCTCTCAGACTTCTGGTCTTTGTCATGAATGTGGGTCTGTTTTCCCTGTCAGATTGGGCAGGGCTGTCCAATCCATGAATCCATGTCTCCTTCCTCCTCTTAGTGTCTTCCTCCCTTTTTCTAAAATGAAGACAGGCTTCAGCATATGGCAGGGACATAGCCATCACAGAATCACTGAATTCTCCAACAAGATGTTATTTCATCTAACCCACCATCCATTTGGGGAAATCTGCCTTATAACATTCTTCACAGGAGAAGGATGAACTGAAAGGAGGCTTGAACAAGAGCTTCCAAATGTTAAAACCACCAGATTTGCCCCTTCTTTCCAGGTGTCCCTTGAACCAAGGTCTACTTAGGCTAATAGAAGAGGTAGTAACCCCAGATCTGAAGGTTTTTTGTTCACCCTGTTTCTATAAACATGGTGGCCACTCCAGAATAATTTTTCTCTTTTATATAAAGCTTCCCTAAATGGGAGACATAATGCAAGTTCCTTTAAGAAACAATGACTACCGGCTCTCCGGGGAAGTTTTCCTCAACTCCAACTTCCATCTGTCCAGCTGTAGTGAAAATCTGACTTTTCTTGCTCTCTTTGGAGTTCCATTGTACCTGGATGGATGTCATATCCCCCACCTTCAACTTCATGGTATCCTTGGGCTACTGACCAATCAGGAGGTTTTAGGATCAGGCAAAAAGCAAGATAAGTGAGTACGTCATTGATTTGTAGTTGAGGATTTCTGGTGGTCTGTTAAGGCCAAAGAAGACATACAAATTTATAAATTACTTTTTAAAAGATTTTATTTATTTATTTGACAGAGACACAGCGAGAGAGGGAACACAAGCAGGGGGAGTGGAAGAGGGAGAAGCAGGCTTCCTGAGGAGCAGGGAGCCCGACGCAGGGCTTGATCCCAGAACCTTGGGATCATGACCTGAGCACAAGGCAGACGCTTAAAGACTGAGCCACCCAGGCACCCCAAATTTATGAATTATTAACAGATAACAGACTTTTTGGACTGTCCAAGCTTCTCTTTTCATCCAGTAGTGTAGTTGCTCAAGGACTGGTGACATTTTCCCTTTGCCTAAGAGGAGAAATTATCACTGGGGCTTCCTGGGGGCAGTTGGGCTAGAGTAGGGATTGAAGGAGTGGCATTTGATTTTGCGTTCTTTTCCAGGATAAAAGAAGTAACCATGGCGAAAGGTCTCAGGTCCTCCCTGTTCCTTGGACTGACCCCGTGGCAGAATAATAGTACATAACATTTACTGAGCACTTGCTATGTGCCAGGTGCTGTGTTAAGCATTATCCATGGTATTCTTTAATTTAATCCTTTTACTAGTCCTTTAAGATAGACACCATTAATGGGAATTTTACATAGGTGGTTTAAGAATGTGGGTAGGTATATTCCATCAAACCTACTGGTATATCTACAGCAGCAGCATTAGCAGCAATAACAACTACTAATATGATTACATAATTAGAGTGTGTCAGGCTCTGTTCTAAGTGCTTTACGAGGATTAATTCTTTTAATCCTTACAACAACTTTATGAGGTGGATACTATTATCCTCATTTTATAAATCATGACATGAGGTACAGAGAGGTTAAGTAATTATCTGAGATTACATAGCTAGAAAGTGGCAGGGCTGGACTTTGAAACTAGGCAGTTTGGAATCTGGGTCTGTGTTCTTTTTTTTTTTTTTTTTTAAAGATTTTATTTATTTATTTGCGAGAGAGAATGAGAGACAGAGAGCACGAGAGGGAGGAGGGTCAGAGGGAGAAGCAGACTCCCCGCCGAGCAGGGAGCCCGATGCAGGACTCGATCCCAGGACTCCAGGATCATGACCTGAGCCGAAGGCAGTTGCTTAACCAACTGAGCCACCCAGGCACCCTGGGTCTGTGTTCTTAACTGATATGCTGTGTATTTAACTTTTTTAAGTTAAACTTAACTTTTTTAAGTATTTAAAATTTTTTTATTTCCAATCATACTAAGAAATAATTTTGTGTGGTGACAAAGTACACACATACACACCACATACAATTGAAGCAAAAAGAAGATGAAATGTTATTTTTACTACATATAATGCACTCTGATATTTTCTATTCTACTCTGCTTGATTTTGTTCTAGTCTATTTCATTAAAATTCTGTTCTCTTCTGGGCACCTGGGTGGTTCAGTCGGTTAAGCATCTGCCTTCAGTTCAGGTCATGATCCCAGGGTCCTGGGATCAAGTCCAGCATTTAGGCTCCCTGCTCAGTGGGGAGTCTGCTTCTCCCTCTACCTCTCCCCCTTGCTTGTGCTCTCTCTCACATGCTCTCTCTCTCAAATAAATAAATAAAATCTTTAAAAAATTCTGTTTGCCTCTATTAGTGGGCCACAATGTGAACTCTGAAAAAATGCTGCCCCAGAGCCTCCAGCTTCTTAATGATTTTAATAAAGCACATCTGCACTGTGCTGCACTGAGTTTACTGAGCATGTGGACATCTCTGTAAATTTCCCAGGCAGCACTGGAAGGAAAGACTTAACATACTTCCCAGAGGAATGAAGTGCCTTGCCCTCAGATCACACAGAGCTACTCATGGCAGAGCCTTGGTTCCCATCCAGCCTTTCTGAGTTCAAGGTCCACACTATACACACTACAGGGGGAACACACCAATATGGATCTGTTTTGACATCTGCCAACATTACTGATAAACTGCTGTAAAGGGAAGGGCATTGTAGGGTTGGTATAGCAAAGGAAGCAGCACAGATCTGAAGCAGGGGGAGGTGGTGGGAGGGGGCTGGATGTCCTCCTCATGGCTCTATATAGATTTATTCTATTATATTCTGAGCCAAATGCAATACAGACTCATAGCAGTAGTGTCTACTCCAGGCTTTCTGGGCCCTGGAGGAAAATGGAAGTTTGAGGTGAAATCCAGACATGCTTTCTTTTCTTGGGGCCTTGTTGGAAATAGTTGGGCATTCCTGAAGCCAGTGAGCCACTGTGTGCCCCCTTAGGCCCGAAGAGTCTGAGGAAGGGAATGCCTCTTCTCAGCATACGCTGGCCAGGATGATGTAAGTTGGCTTACAGACTGGTCTGTGTGCAAATCGAGGTAGGTGAGAATGCACATGAGAAGGTGAGTGTGTGTGTGTGAGATTGTGGGTGGGAAGGCCAGTATGTGAATGCACTGTGTGTGTGTGTGTGTGTGTGTGTGAGAACGGGGGTGGGGGTGGGGGGGGAGGGAGAGAGACAGAGTCATAGAGACGGAATATGTTGATAGGTGTGGGTGAGGGTTTTGGGCAAGTGTGGGGGTGTTGGGGCTTTGGTGGTGGAGAAATGGGCTAATGATGTGAGGGAAACCACCAAGCGCACCCCGTTTTAAATAATTTTCTATTGATCTCATATTCTCCCAGTATCCCAAGGCCGGTTTGATCAGCACCACGGACAGCAGCACAGACGTCTTCAAATGGGGCAGTACTGGAGTCGTAGCCCCGCCTTTCTCCTTCCTCCATTCTAATTTGAGTCATTGCTCCCCATCCTCCAATCCCTGAGTTCCACCAAATGTGTATGGGGAGGTATGGGGAGCGTGTGGGGGAGGTGAGCTGGCCTTTTGAAGATAAACAGTTGTGCAGTTTGGGGTAAAAGGCCATAAACATTTGGCCACATCTGGCCCCCAATTAAGCACATTAAGGGAGGAGCCAAGGCAGCTAAACAACCCAAGCCAATAAAGACATCTAATTGCTTCTAACCCATGGACGCATTAGGCTCCCCGCATATATAAAAGGCCCAAAGATGTCCAAGACACAAACACTTCAACCACTGTACCCTCCATTAGTACGTCTCCCTCCTCAGAGCTTCCCTTGCCCCCAAGAAGGACCATGACTTGTGGATCTTACTGTGCTGGCCCTGTCTTTAGCTGCATGTCGGCCTGCGGGCCCCGGCCCGGCCGCTGCTGCATCACGGCCGCCCCCTACCGCGGCGTCTCCTGCTACCGCGGCCTCACCGGGGGCTTCGGCAGCCGCAGCGTCTGCGGGGCCTTCCGCGCCGGCTCCTGCGGCCGCAGCTTCGGCTACCGCTCCGGCGGCGTGTGCGGGCCCAGCCCACCCTGCATCACCAGCGTGTCGGTCAACGAGAGCCTCCTCACGCCCCTCAACCTGGAGATCGACCCCAATGCGCAGTGCGTGAAGCACGAGGAGAAGGAGCAGATCAAGGGCCTCAACAGCAGGTTCGCTGCCTTCATCGACAAGGTGGGTGTCCTTGAGCACACCCTTCCGGAGCCTTCGGTTCCTGGGCTAGGCACTGAAGACAGGAGATGTGGTCCAGGGGAGCTCCCAGTCTGATGCAGGACATGGACGCACACCCAGGGCACTCGTGGACCAAAGACATGAGTCTATAGAGCAGAGGCTCCTGATTTGATAGTGTGGCTATCACATGCAACCTCCGTCCAGGCAGGCAGGTCCCCACAGAGAGACAAGGACAGGCTTGGAACTGGCATGCCAGAGCAAGAGGGCAGTCCATGCACGCAGACACAAGAATGCACATAAGAAATAGGAAGAGGACCACAGGGCCATCCTATGGGTGGGTGTCCTAGACCACAGCCTTCCTGTACCCCGCCCATGCTCAGGACCTAGGCTGGGCACCAGGTCAGAGGCAAAATAGAGACCTCTAGCTGGCCCCACACCACATGCCACCTGGACTCACCAGGTCTGGATAAGTCAATGTCCCTGAGAGCAGGGACTGACCTTTCCCAACCCTGGCTCCCATCCCTAAATTGGAAACTCCAGACACAGATGACAGTCAGGAAAGCCAGAAGTCACCTTGTCTCCCACTGCCCCTCTCTGCCAAATCTCTGCTGAGCTACAGGCTTGGGAGTTTACCCTAAAGCAACCAGCCCCACCCCAAACTGGTTTGGGGACACCAGGAGCCATCTGACCCCCTCCTCACACCCTGAACGCAGGTGCGCTTCCTGGAGCAGCAGAACAAGCTGCTGGAGACCAAGTGGCAGTTCTACCAGAACCGCAAGTGCTGCGAGAGCAACCTGGAGCCCCTGTTCGAGGGCTACATCGAGACCCTGAGGCGGGAGGCCGAGTGCGTGGAGGCCGACAGCGGGAGGCTGGCCTCGGAGCTCAACCACGTGCAGGAGGTGCTGGAGGGCTACAAGAAGAAGTGAGTGCGGCCGGGAGTGACGCTGGGCACAGGAAATGGACTTGACTTAGAGCCCATTGGATTAGACTTGAGAGGAATTTCCCAGAAGGGCAAGAGGCCATGCAGGCCGGGGCGGGGGGTGCCGTGTGCAGTAGGATCTTCTCATCTGTGCCACTGGTGCCCAGTGGCCTGCCTGAGCCCAAGCCTGGGACTCCCCCAGCACACATATCTCTCCTACTTTGGCCTTCTCTTCTCGGAGGCTGTCCCCTGGGCCCGGTGGGCGGGGAGAGGGGACTTCTGCTGGCTTCAGGCCTTCTCCCGCTGACCTCTCAGTTCCCACCTGTAGCACCTTGGGGTGATGGGTTCTGGGGCTCTGGGTGACCCACTGCCCAGGGTGCTGAGTGCTGGTTGTTGATGGGTGGCATAGGCCCCCAGCCTGAGCTAGGATGGACACCCAGGGGAGGGGGGGTTGCTCTGCAATCCTAGCCCAGGGCTGCGTGCTGTGTCCTTATTTTCTTCCTGAGGGGACCTCACAGCAGCTTTGGGAATGGGGCTATGAGGTCCCAGAACATAGGCTCTCCGGACCCCTCAATTCAAAGTGGGGAGAGAATCCCAGACACGTTCCAGATCCAGCCAGAAAGAAAAGATCCAGCAGAGCTGCTGGGGTCCCGGCTGCTGGGAGGTTCCTAATATTGCCCTTCCCTGACCTCCCTCTCTGTCCTCTTCTGCCTCAGGTATGAGGAGGAAGTTTCTCTGAGAGCAACAGCTGAGAATGAATTTGTGGCTCTGAAGAAGGTGAGTAATGTGGGATCAGAAGCACAGACATCAGGGATCCTGGAATGACAGACTCTTCCTGGGGAGACCCAGAGGGTCTCAACCTCAGTGTGGGGTACATGACCTGGCCACATCGAGATGGGAAATCCCAGAAATCAGGTCATGAAAGGCTCATTCAGGTCGCTGATGAAGGGTGATAACCTTGCAGTGTCCACTAACACCCTGCCCTGGGGCAGGTGGATGGCTGGGCTGACCTCTGGATGTCCTGCTCTGCTTCGGAAGTGGTGGTCTCCTGCGGGGGTCCCAGGGAGGCAGAGCAACTGCAGGCTCTCTATGGAGGGACAGTATCCTGTCTAACGTTGTGGGAAGTCTGACAAAAAGGAGGGGTGCAGCCCCAGGGTGTGGGGAGGATGGAGCAGAATCCGGAGTGGCCAGGTGGAGTCTGGGAGGACTGCCGGGGGGACCGGGGAGGGGTCAAGGTGGCCAAGCAGGGAGTCTGTCTGATGGGCTTCTTGGATTAAGGAGGCTACAAAGGAGAGCTGGAATCATAAGAGGAGTGAGAGGCTGGTGGCCCATCTCCAGGCACAAAGGGGTTTTTTCCCAGAAGAGCAGGAGGTTGTGAAGCCCATCCTGGGCAGGCCAGAAGAGATGAAGATGGGATGGGAATAGGAACACTGGGAATCCTTTCCCCTGGCCTCCAAGGATGGGGGAGAAGGGAGAGGAGCTTGGGGTGATGACCACCATGGGTCCTCTTCGCTCAAAGACTCCCACTTTTCCAGGATGTGGACTGTGCCTACCTCCGCAAGTCAGACCTGGAGGCCAACGCGGAGGCCCTGACTGAGGAGATCGACTTCCTGCGGCGCCTGTATGAGGAGGTGAGGGGCCGTGGTCCAGGCAGAAAACTGGCAGCCAGCCTGGAAGAGGGGGCTTTGGCCTAGGACTGGAGTTGGCCAGGGATTTGGGCTGGGGCTGCAATCCATGAGGCTGTCATGTGAGCAGAGCCTGGAGACCAGGGAAGGGCTGAGAAGATTGGGTCCACACTGTGGTGGACGAGGCTGGGGTGTAAACAAGATCCTTCCATCCTCCCACCCCCCACCGTCTGCAGGAGATCCGTGTTCTCAATGCCCACATCTCAGACACCTCGGTCATCGTCAAGATGGACAACAGCCGGGACCTGAACATGGACAGCATTGTGGCCGAGATCAAGGCTCAGTATGACGACATCGCCAGCCGCAGCCGGGCTGAGGCCGAGTCTTGGTACCGCAGCAAGGTGAGGGGCGGAGGACACCTGCCTCCTAGACATGGCAGTGGCAGGGAATCCAGGTATATAATAACAAGGTTTCTTTTGTCTGGGGATTCCGATCCCTTGAATGGTAACAGAAGGGCAGACAGCTCTCAGGTTATAGTGGCTGGGCAGGGCTGCCACGTATGGTTGCACAGGCTGAGCACTGTACAACTTACCAATCATCTGTGGTGTCTGAGTGGGTGGGACACTGCATCTTGAGCCTCAGGGGCATGTCTGCTTCCCCCCAGTGTGAGGAGATGAAGGCCACGGTGATCCGGCATGGGGAGACCCTGCGCCGCACCAAGGAGGAGATCAATGAGCTCAACCGCATGATCCAGAGGCTGACCGCTGAGGTTGAGAATGCCAAGTGCCAGGTAAGTGTTGCCTGGGGCCTCCCCAGGGTCACACAGGCAGTGTGTGTCCTCAGTGGATCTCACCATTCATGCTCTAGCCCATCTGCATGACTAGAGTCCTTAGCTATGGTCCCTTGGAGGAGACTCAGCTGATGAAGGGGAGAGGTCTGTTCTTGGGGTGTTTCCAGCTGGGGGAGGGAAGAGACTGGACACACCCAGGAAATGGACAGAGAAACCCAGGACCATAACATACCTTGTTCTCCTCTGGGCCCCTAGAACTCCAAGCTGGAGGCTGCAGTGACCCAGGCTGAGCAGCAGGGCGAGGCGGCTCTGAGCGATGCCCGCTGCAAGCTGGCTGAGCTGGAGGCCGCCCTGCAGAAGGCCAAGCAGGACATGGCTTGCCTGGTCAAGGAGTACCAGGAGGTGATGAACTCCAAGCTGGGCCTGGACATCGAGATCGCCACCTACAGGCGGCTGCTGGAGGGCGAGGAGCAGAGGTGGGTACTGTAGCCTATTTTCTCTCCCAGCCTTGCCTGGGTTCCCAGCGTGCCATGTGCCTCCTGGCATCACTGGACTCCCATTTCCAAATCTCCCCATCCTCCATTTACAGGTAATGAGTAAGTCCTTTTGGTATGTTTCTAGCCCTCTATGAGTCAGTCATGCCCACCTATGTGCTAAAATGGGATTGGAACCTTTTGCAAATCTGCTCCCGCAAGAGCCAGGAGTCAGGCCATAGGGATTGTTGTTCCTGAGAACCCTAGCCTGGGCTTGTAGCCACCTTCCCTTGGAAGTGCTTTTCCCTTCCTGGCCCTTGTTGCACATAACCCAGGCTCTAGCTCTCCTCTCAAGCCTGGCCCTGGGCCCCACCCTGGCAGTTTATATTTATCCCATAATGACCACCGCCACAGGGGATTTTATCAACTCACTGTTATATATTCCAACTACAGTGGGTCCCCCTAAGTGGTCTTCCATCGCAGCAGGTAGGACCGAGGGGGGACAGACAGCAGGGACTTGTCCCTTGAGGCAGCTGTGTCCTGTTCTAGCATTTTTGCTTATTGCTAGTTTTGGACATGGCAGGGAAGACCCATTCACCATTCAGCCTTCCTATGACTGGAGGGCAGCTGCTCATCTCCTATGAGGACATCACTCCCAGAATGTTGCCCCTGGGTTGGTCAGGTGTTCACTCCCCGAGCCTCCCTCTTCTGGTGTATAGCCAGGCCCCCGCTCTCAAGCAGAAGCAAGTGCAGTGTGAGGAGGCAGAGGGAGCCCCTGGGAGCATGCTGTGCAGTGGGGAGATGGGGACACGGGTTTGATAGCTGGAATCAAAGTGGTCCCATGGTGAGACTTGCCACAATCTCAAGTAATTGCTTTGGAGAGCTCAGAGGCCCCGTGGCTCACTGGGCCTGGGGAGTTTCATTAGTGGAGACTTCCAGAATGAAGAATCTTTCAAGACTGAGTTTGGAAGTTCAAGAGAAGCCTGGAGATAGCACTGGAAACTGAGCAGCCCATCCCTCTGCCGCATTGGGCCCCTGGGGTGAGCTCAGAAGCTTTGGTGTGGGTTCCCTGTGAACCCTGGGCATGGGCTGAGTACGTGGTGGGCTGCGGATTCTCCTCATGTCTGAAGCTGATGTTGTCAACCCTTTGCCACGGTGCTATGAGAGGGACTCCCATTTGTTTCCCTTAAGGAAATGTGTTGTGTGGGAAGGAGATGAGGGCTGCGTGGAGTTAGGGGCCCTGAATCGTAGCCCTGCCTCTATCACTGGTTATTTCCTCTCTCTGGGCCTCAGTGTCTCCATTTGTCAAATGAGGGAACTTGTGTAGACAGTCTCTGAACCTGTTCTAAATGGGTTCTAAAATCCCATTCAATTTCGCCAACAGTAATTTATGGAGCCAAACATTGTTGTAGGCACTGTCCACTCTGCAGTGGGGAAAAGACAAGACGGAAACGTCTGCCTTCCTGAAGCCCAGGTTCCAGAGACCACCAATCGGGCCAGATTTAGGAAGTCAAATCTGCGGCCCCTGAAATGCGTGTACAAGTAGATCGAAACCAGCATGTGTGAACTGTGAGCCATGTGGCAGGCACTAAGCACCTACATGGGCCATGGATTCCACGCTCACAGGGGATCTGGTTAAGATATTCCCAGGAGGAGGGAGGCCAAGGGAGGCAGGGCAAATCTGAGGTTGCAGGGCTAAGGAGGGCTACCAGACACATCGTGCCTTCTGTCTCCAGAGCCCACGCGGGGGCTGGGCTACGGCTTCCAGATGGGCCCATTTCCCGCCCCTTCCCCTCAGCGAGTGTCCAGGAGGAGGGCACAGTCCTCGCTTTCGCCCTGGCCGCGGGGGCCGGAGGCTGGCCTGCGGCACCGACCTCTGTCTCTTTTCCTTTCCCAACAGGCTGAGTGAGGGCGTCGGCGCCGTGAATGTGTGTAAGTAGGGCGAGGCTCCCCCTTCTCCAGGTGGGGGCGGGGGCACGTCCTGGGGGAGGGCCGGTTTCGCTGAGCCCCCGCCCCCCCCCCCCCCCCCCCCCCGCCGCCCGCTGTGGCCGAGCCTGATGTGTTCTGTGCCCCATTCAGGCGTCAGCAGCTCCCGCGGGGGCGTCGTCTGTGGTGATCTCTGCGCCTCCGGTGCTGCCCCTGCTGTCACCAGCAGAGTCTGCAGCGCCCCCTGTAGCGACAACATGGTGGTGGGCACCAGCTCGTGCGCCCCGGCCAGCAGCCGGAGCTGTCAGAAGTGCTAGGGGGCCGCCGGCCGCTGCCAGCGCGCATCCCCGTCACCCTCCAGCCAGGACCTCCCGCATCCCGAGCGCCCCGCCAACGCCGCCCCACGACCGCCAGCCGCCGGCCCCCCCCACCCCACCCCGAGAGCCGGTGGCCAGATGTGCGCACTCTGCGCGACCTCCCTACCCGCTCCCTCCGTGGGCCATCCCCCCTGGGCGCCCTGAGCCCTGGAGAGGTTGGGGCGGCGCCTTGGCCTCTCTCCGTAGCCTTTCCTAGTAGTGGCTTTGCTGTCTTCAGGATTCATCCTTTCTTCTGCCTTCTGGTTTTTTCCCGCTGGATTCACGTGTCCTGCCTGACCCCTTCACCCAGGCTTGCAGGGACAGGGCGGGCCCCAGAATCCCGCTGTCTGCACTTCCTGGTAACCCGCCAGTGTGCCTGAACCTGTGGAATGGAGGTGGGGAATGCTGATGGTGGCTTTCCTGAAACTCTGTGAGGGCCATGAGCCGTGGGAGGGAAGAGCACCTCTTTCCAGGGCTGCCGGCAGAGGCTTCGACAAAGCCCATGTCTCCGCTGCCAGTCTGTTTCTTTGCCTTTGTTTCACTCTGTGTTTCCAATAAACTAATTGTAGCTTATCAAACCTGGTGACTCAGAGTCTTGAAAATGCCGGGGATGTCCCGTGACAGGAGCTCCCTGCCAGAGATTTCCTCAGGAACCTCCCCATGCACTGAGTTACGACCACTTCAGTGGGTGCTGCCCCTCTGGCCTTGAGCAACCTCAGCCTTGAGAAAATAAAAAAGAACCTATGGATGCAGGGGATCTTGTGGGGTCATGGATTTCTCTAGACCAAGGTGTCTCAGCTTCAACTGTATTGACATTTTGGGCTGGAGCATTCTTTGTTGGGGGCTGTCCTGTGCGTTGCAGGATGCTTAGCTGCATCACGGGCCTCTGCCCACCAGATGCCAAGGGCACCGCCCCCCCAATTGTGACAACAAAACATATCTCTAGAAAAGACCAAATATGCTGTAGGCATTCTGGACCAGGATGATTTTGTCCCCCAAGGGCATTCCTGGAGAGGAAAGAGCATGAGGAAATGTATGAAGATGAGAATGGAAGGAAGGAGTGTGAGACAAGCAACTGGGGGGAGAGGAAGGGCATTGGGCTTAAAGTCGGGAGTAGGCTTCTAATTCAGAGTCCTGACCCTGCCATTTCCCAGATGTGTGACGTAGGGCAAACTCCTTCCACGGTCTGAGCTTCAGTTTCTTCGGCTATAGAGTGAAGGAGGTTGGATAATATTCCTAAGGTCCCTTCTGGCTCCCTAAGTGAGATTCTGTATTTAAAAGGGTGTTGTTAATACAAACCTATGTTTGAATGCTGGTTCAGCCATTTACTTCCTCTGTAATGGGGCAAGTCACTAATCCTCACTCAGCTTTAGCTTTTTCATCTGTAAATGGAATAACAACACCTACTAGGTTGTAGTGAGATTTTTTTATTTTTTTAATTTTTTTAAAGATTTTATTTATTTATTTGAGAGAGAGAGAATGAGAGACAGAGAGCATGAGAGGGAGGAGGGTCAGAGGGAGAAGCAGACTCCCTGCCGAGCAGGGAGCCCGATGCGGGACTCGATCCCAGGACTCTAGGATCATGACCTGAGCCGAAGGCAGTCGCCCAACCAACTGAGCCACCCAGGCGCCCTGTAGTGAGATATTTATTGCTTGTAACAAACCACTCCAAAATTTAGAGGCTTAAAACAATACAGGTATCCTCTGCTTTTTGAAACTGTCGTTCCAACTCTTCACTTTTACAAACGACATAGACCGTATTACCTGTTTTCACTGATTGAAAGAAATCCAAAGCGGATTTTCCCTTTTACAAAAAGAGGTGAAAAGCAAATATAGCATTCAGCATCTGTTTTGCAGCCAGCTGTTACAGAGGCAGCGCACAGCCCAGCTGGGAGAGTGGCGCCCCCAAGCTTCTTCCCTGGGAACTACACTCAGCATCTCAACATCAAGCTGCCACGGCTTTTTGAACTGTGTCTGTTCTGATAAAGCATCTGTGCTTTATCTTGATTTATTTTGTGCGCTCTTAGCAAGATGTGTCCTAAGGTAGCAGAAAAGCCTAAGAGGGGCTATATTTTTGAGTCTGGGGTGCTCACAAAATTTTTCCACATAAATTAATGGTAGACACTTCTTCCTTAATGTCATATCAGCTTATGAAATGTTTCATAGGAATGCCCTGTGTTCAGATAGCAAGGAAACCTGTTTTCCCATTCCTTATGATTCTGTGGGCTAAGGGGAAGTTCCTCTACTTTATGTGATGTTGTTTGGGGTGCTAGGATGTCTGTGAGGTCCAAAACAGTCTCGTTTCACATGGCTGGGAACCCAGCTAGAGTGGCTGATCAGGGCGTACCAGTCAGGGTCTAATCAGAAGACAATAATGTGAACAGATAAAGTTTAATATAAAGAATTATTAACTATAACAGGGGATTAGAGTAATGAGAGATTGACTAGGAAAAAGCGAGAAATCTAAAGCATACAGGAGCTGCAGATAGAAGGGGCAGCCCCTACCCTTAAGCCTGAGAGAGCACATCCATGGAAGGGGACGCCCTGTGGCCGAGGTCCAGATCTTGTTGAAGATTCATAGTACATAGCGGGGCTATACTGGCAGAACTGGCTGGAAATCCACCCTTTTGAACTTGCTGGAATTCTGTCCTCTATGTTGCTAGGGAAAGCTGCTTGTGAAGACACGTCTCCACTTCAAAGCCACCCAAGGAGGATACTGGAGGCTGCTGGCTACAGGATGGGGCTGATCGCTATGCACTGTGGTAGTGAAGCTACCACGCCGCAAGAGCTGAGTGCTGGAGAACCGTGGTGCTACAGGAACCTGCCAAGAGGGGGAAGCGGGAACCAGAAAGGAAAACCCCTTCCTCCTGCAAGATCTCTCCCGCGCCCTCTATTGACAAAACTCAGTATTGGGTCAGCAGACAAAAAAATATTTAAAGGGCCCCTCTAAATTTTCACAGAGCAGGCGATGCTGGATCTAAAGCTGGAGCTGAGAGACAATAAATTGATAAGTGGCATACAGGGACTTGGTTCTCCTCCATGAGAGCCTCTCTCATGTGGCTGCTTGGACTTCCTCACAGCCCGGTGGCAGGTTTTTCAGGGCATTCCAGGAAGAATGAAGGAAGGAGGCAGAAGCTGCCAGTCCCCTTTAGGCCTGACTTCAGAAGGTCACTTCCACCATATTCTATTGACCAAACCTGTCACAGGGCCAGCTCTGATTCAGGGGAAGGGGAATCGGGCTCCATCTCTTGATGATTTCACATACAGAGAGGAAAGAATTATTGGTCCCACGGTGCCCTCGCTGGCCACAACAATTCATGTCTCCCCTGCTGAAGAATGAGTGCTCACTCCTCCCCAAATCCCTCAAAGTTTCATCCCATTATGACATCAGCTTGAAGTTCAAGATCTCAAGATTTGGATCAGATCCAAGTATGCACAAGGTTCTTGGGACATGGTTCCCATTGTGGTTTACCTCAGCCTGAAGACTTGTGTTTTTATGTCCACCATACACTTGTCAGGCAATGGCGAGATAGGGACAGGATAGCCACAGTAGGGACTCCCATTAGGGGGAGGAAAAACTGGGGGCATTTAGAAGTCACTGATTCAAAGCCATTCCAAGTACAGTCAGGCAGGCACGGCTTCCCCCTCACATTGTAGAGGCAGGGAGTGTGTTTCATTAGGGCCTACTTTTGCTCCCTAGAAGTGGTTCCTCTCTGTTCTTGGCTCTATCCTTTGGGATCTTGGCTCCGTTTTCTGGGTTGTCCTTTCTTTTCCATGATAAATAACCCATGTTTTCTTAGCCTGCTGGAGGTTAGGGGCCCAGAGGCCCATTTTCATTCTGAACCATTGCTATTCCTTTTAGTGAGGACTGCTATGATTCTTTTTAAAATGTTGTTTCTGGTGTATCAAATGATAATGGGCTTTGTTAGACAAAAGTTATCCCCATAAATATCTTTGAGGTAGGCTCCTCCCACCCTTGGGCTGTGAGTCATCATGCTTGGGGACAACACCGAAGATTCTTTGAAGCCCTGCTGCTTAGCTGGGAGGATCTATGAAGTTGCCTTTAAGATTCTTAGAAAACTTTTGGTCAGCTGAGTGAGTCTAGGAGATTCTGAATTAAATCTGAGATTTCAGCAGAGGGTCTAACAGTCACCGTCTTCATCTGACTTTTACTGGAGGGTATGTGTTTGTGTTTGATCTTTGCTCTGAGGTCCTTTCTTACTTGGAGAACCTTTTGCTGATTGGAAAGACTGTCCTTGTCTCTTCTGGATTGTGCTAAAAAGCTGAACATTTCCTTCCCCAGTCCGTTTCTCTCCTCTTGTATTTTATCGTAGGCAGCTAAGAGAAGCCAGTGGCATTTTCATCCTTCTACCTGGAAACCTTAGCCAGGTCCACAAATCCATTAGATGTCCTTTTTTGTCTTTCTTCTCGCCACAGGCAATAGTCCTGCCAAACTTGTCACCACTACATAGTATGGGTCACCTTTTATAGCATCTACTAATAACTTCCTCGTTGTCCTTCCCGCCTTCACTAATGGCTTCCTTGAGGACATTCAGACTGCCTAATGCCTGGTCCCCAAACCAGCTGTATGCAAACCCAAGTTCGTTTGCCCGCCGTGCAGCAAAGCTGATCATTGAGACATCGAGTATGCGGCAAGGAAAAGGTTTATTAGAGAGGCAGCCAAATGAGTGGACAGGACGGCAAGCCTCCAATCCACCTCTTTGAAGGGGGAGAGAACAAGTTTGTTTACAATCATAGGAGTTGAGATTATATACATCTTAATGGAAAGGGCTGGGAAACTTAATGAGTATTCACGAAAACAGGTGGCACATGCGCACTGAGCAAACATAAATGTAACAAACATACCATGTTCACTTTGGGGCAGGCACTTAATATCTGAAGAAGACAAAATTCTGCCCCTGCCATTAAGCGCTAAGCGGTTATCTCGGGACAAGGAGGAGGGTCTATGGGCTTGCTCTGAGAGCTGGTACAAACTGGATGGGTTCCTTGTCTCCAGTAAGGAAGGCAGGGCCCTGCATTGTTCCCAGGCTGGAACCGTATCAGTTGACTTGGAGCTTCTGCAGAGACAGCTAGTGGATTTTCAGTAAGGTCTGCAAAGACACAGTAGCTGATTAGGGAGAAACAGTTCTCTGAAAAACAAGCTTTACATTTCCAGTGCGTTTCATCTCGTGAACTCTGGGGGGCACGGTTTCACGATGTCGCAGGTTTTAGGTTTGCTTATGGTTGCGCCTACTTCCAGGTACTGATTTCTTCACTTACCTGTTGCCATACAAACATTAGCCCACAACTTAGCGGCTTAAAACAACACTATTTTTCACGATCGTGTAGCTTGACTGGATGATTCTCCTGCTTCATATTATTGGCTGGGGCTCCTGTATGTTCAGAATGGCTTTGCTCACGTGGTGGACATTTGGTGTTGACCATGGGCTGAGAGCTCACCTGGGGCTGATGGCCAGGAGCCTCTGTTCTCCTCCATGTGCTACCAATCCTCTTAAGGCCGGGCGCA